AGCTACATTTTCCTGCCTTTTTACTCAAAAAATGACAATGGAAATTCTCGTGCTTCGCATACACTAAGGTCTGAAAGTGGTTATTCCTCTTTATAAATTCCTAAAAAGAAATATGAGGGTGTAATTTATCCGAAACTTATGATGCATTAGAAAAATGAACTGTTCGAAATATGTTGTAATGATACATTAATATAAGAGTAAAACTTGGGCACTGTGGTCGATTGTAGTTCCATTTTAGTCTGTTTATTAGAAATATCACACGGTGAAACAGTAGCATTTACTGGATAACGTTACGGACACAATTTATTGTACTCTATTCATATCAGGTAACTCCACAACTTCGAGACAGAGTTACTTGATATGAATATGGACAATAAATTGTGTCCGAAACGTTATCCAGTAAATGCTACTGTTTCATTGTGTGATATTTCTCATAAACAGACTAAAATTGTTATGATTCAGTTACAGGGTGTATGCGTATCTACTTTTGTTACTATTTTCTGGCGTTCTTACAGGTTCCTTCAGCCTAGCAATATGTAGGCAACTGCTGTCTAGGGCTTTATGCTTTTCTTTCACTTGTTCATGGAAACTGACTGTCTCCTTTCTTAGTCTAGTCGGATTAGCTAAGTGCTAAGTGTGCTTGTCTTAGGTTAACTTACTTCTTTTAAATCAAAGTCAGGAGGAAGTTTTGACAGGATATCTGCGGCAAGTTCTTGTACAGTTTCTTCTGGCGATTTACCAGTTCTACTTTTTTGTCTTGGCAGTGTTAGTAAGATCCCGGAAAACAGCTTGACAAAGGAAAGTAAAGTAGACAGAGCAGATAACGCTTTGATGGAGTCAAGTAATTAAATGATAAAAATCTTATAAACGTGAAATATAAATATTAGAGTGGCGCTTAAACTTTTCCAAATGTTGAGTGAATTGTATTAATTTCATCATTATCACCTTGTTAGCATGAATCTTACACAAGTATGCTATGCTTTCAAAAACACTGAATACACCTTCAACAGTATTACTATTTTCGGAGTCACTTATGAAGTAGTTCATTTCAGTTCAGTGGTAAAAGACCTCTTACAATCGCATAAAATTATGTTTTTTGAACTGACAGGAAATGTGCGAATAGATTCATGATACAATAGACCACCCAGACAAAATGTGTTTTGATATGGAGCTAGATACCATGGGCATACAACTTTTCCAAAACACTTTCTTTGGATTATTTTATTCATAAGGAGAATGCCATGCAATTACTAAATCTTTTCCAGTTAAAAGAAATACTTCTGAACTCTTTGCGAAAGCTTTTTAATGTTTCATCTAATCTATATGAATGAATCTGTCCTATTGTGAAGCTAATGCATTTTGGTAGCTTGATCAAGTGATAAAGTTGACATCGATGGAAAGACGAATGATAAAATGAAAAACTAATTACTAAATCGAATCTTGAGTTAAGCTGTATTCTGTGCGTGGGGTTCTGTATATAACCTTAATCATAATCTCTTAATCTCAAACTGTGCCTAAAATCTGGTTTCAAGTCGTCAACGTTTCGGATTGAGACATTATCATTTTCTGTTACTACTCCTCGCTCCAAAAGTATTCAACTTTTGAAATGGTCTCATTTTTTACTTTGTATTTACGTAATATATTTTGTCAGTTAGTCGAAACTTTATTTGAGAAATCGTGAAAGCACCAAAAATGGCTGGAAATTATTCACAATTGTTCAATGTACTTCGAGTATTTGAAAAGTCCCCGGAACAGCATATCTGTTATCTTCTAATCCAATTGAGCAATTTTATAATTCTGTTATTAATAACAGACATTTCTAGAAATTATTTCACAAATTCATGATCATCTTGAAGCATAAATAAAGATTGGGTTGTATTATTATTTCTACCTTAGGTTCCTAGTGGAACATAGGGCTTCAGTAGCACGCCTCCATTGCACTCTGTTCTCTGAAGTCCTTTCAACCTCCCTCCATGACTGACCACAAGCTTTCATTTCTTCCTCACACCATCTCCTCCATGTTACCCTCACTTCAGACACCCAATTCGTCGTTCCCCCCTCGGATTCCACTCGACGGCCTGGCCTGACGCCTGATGTCCCCAATCGGTCTTCTCAGTGTATGCCAAATCCAATCCAAACCATTCCATCTCCACTTACTTCTGCATATTTATCGGCCGACGGGTTCTTGGTTGGTTCACTGCCAGTCAGCCAGCCAGAGTTCCCTTGTTGCTTATTCTTACTATTCTCGCCATCTGATATTCAGTGTCAGTATCCAATGAGTGTAGGTGGCAGCTGTTGATGAATGTCTGTAGTTTGCTGTAAATGCTTTTCGTGAGGCGCCAAATTTCTGAACCATATAGCAGCAGCTGCCTAGGAAGGTAGGTGAAAGTAACTACTTCTTTTGGATTTCCTCCGTTGACGGTGATTGGTGCTTGTTGTTGGTTGGGTATCTTCATCACCTCCGTCTCCTCTACATTCGCTCGAAGTCTCGTCTTCGCTGCCTCACCTCTTCTGTCAACTTGTTGGTTTTTGCCTGTAGATCTTCGAGGTTGTGCGATATTAGACACAAATCATCGGTGAAATCCAAGTCTTCGGATGGGGTTTTTTCATTGGTCCAGTCTACCACAATCAGGAAGATCATCGGTGATAGTAAGCAACCTTGTCTTATTCCTGTCTTCACTTCAAAGCCATCACTGGGTTTTCTATTGTGAATCACTTGTCATGTGGCGCCTTCAACTCCACCTACATAAGCCTAAATACATTACAGTACAGATCAAAAACCCAATTAGTTTTCACATCTTGATTTAATTATCCAACTAGCCCGATGTCCTCCTATATTCTAAGTGGCTTATATATTTAGTTACAGCACTAACTAGAGTGAAAATCTTATGGATCTTCTGCAACTGCAGCGGTAAATAACTTCCAAAATTCATAAGACTAAAGGTTAGTGAACACCTGGAAATGGATGACGACACTCTTGGTTTTGGTGGGTTGAGTTAGCTAAAAGTCATTCTCTGATGTCATCCAAATATACTTTCCTATGAGAAAAATTATTTGTGTTCTGATTTCGTACTTGGGCATTGGTTGGTAACCTTTAGAGAGCGACTGATTAGAGATCTACGTTTGCGTTTCATAGAAATTTGTCAATAATCCCACTAAACACTTTCTAGTTGTGATGTTCACCAGTTCAGTAGGGTTTAAGCAAAGATGCTTCTGAGCATAGTTAATACAAAGGATGCACATCACTTAGATAAATAGAATTCGATCTATTATCTTAGGCATGCACATACTAACTATTGAGAAATTACTTGGAATGTTTCTTGATTATCTTTAGTGATATCAGCATTATCATGAAGACCGTAGACTTCTGGCATTGGATTTATTGGTAGCGAACGTATATATTCAATGAAATCTTGAGCTGTGCCATCATCAGGACAATAGTATATTCCAGACGCTGAAAATCTGTAGATTTAAATTTACATACACACGAAAGTGAAAAGAAACGACTTTTTACGTGAATAGCATCCGAATAACAAAAATGAAACTCCGACCGCAAACTAGTTATCTATAAATCACTAGAACATTTAAAATTCGACTTGACTTTTCACGAATTCAGTTACCTGTCTGAAAAAAGAAATCACTTAAAAGGTACATCCTCCCAAACTTAACTAGAAATTCAAGAGATACTGGATGGCGTTTTATTTCGAATTTGCTGCTCCAAACAACGTAGATCCCAAGGGTTCCAAACCCCTAACTTGAAAAAAATATATAACTCAATCTTTCACTCTATTTCTTGGCCTTAATAAGAAGTGGAGTCTATGAGTAACTAGTGTTGAGGTTGGGTAGATAGTCAATCAGTCAACAAGTTTGCGAAATTAAAAAGACCAAGATGCCTTGGGATTGTCTTAGCATGTCAATCCAATGTTTATCAAAATCTGTGACGCAGACTTTCATAGAGAAAGTTTCATAATTACATTCATGACCAAATACACAGCTTTAAAGAATGCTAATTTTGGTAAGATTAGGTTGGAAGAAAGATGACAGGAAGCCAATGAGGCATGTCAGTCTTTGATTGTTGGTATTTGTCCCTAAGGTAAGTATTGATTTTCTTACTAGGAGATGACTTTAAAGGCTACTTTTTCAACGGCTGTATTGACCAGTTAGGTTTGTTTATATCGACTAAAGGGTAGTTTCTTCTCAAAATGCAGAAATCTAATTGGTTATTTCAGTCGTTTCTGAGGCGGCCTTTAATGTAGCTTTAACTTGGATAAACTAGATTTTCAAAATCAGCACTTAACGGCTGCAGTGACTTTAAAAACCACCCCAGCAAATGCTGAGATAACCAATTAGACTTCCCTATTTTATGAAAAACCACCTTTCTAGATAAAATACCGAAACGGCATCGGTTATTTCCGCAGTTGCTAGGGTGGCCTTTAAAGTCATCCAAAGGCTGCATATAAGAAAAATCGCTTCAACTATAGTGAGTAAATTGATAATTTTTGTCCTCCTTCAATCTATAATAAGGCTACATTCATCCTAGTCATGGTCACTCTGACATTATCACGACAGGGTCACTTTTGGAGATTGGAACATACTGAGTACACTTACCATTTCTAAGTGAAAATACCGACCAAGTATGTCATCTTTTTTATCAACGTAGTGTCAACAGATTACGCGATTGCTATCGCGTTCGATGAGTAGTCACCTTGTGTTGCACAATATAGGTAGCTTTATGTGCGTCCTGGATCCCACTGCTAGCCACTATTCATCAATAATATGAAAATTGAAGATATAGGCAATATCAAGGGATCCGCGCAGGAGACCGTATGCCAATAGAGACCAATCAATTCGGTCCAATCAACGATGAAATCACAAAAATAACAACATAAAGGTAGCCTTAGTTTGGTTTAGTTAGTTTCATCATCATCGGAAAAATGATTTGACATGGGAACACAATCTATGGAATACACCATTCATATACTGAGTCGATAAAAGAGAGTCTGTGGTTAAAATATAATCTACCTAACAGTTTTTTCTCACAGTTCAACACAAAGTAAAAAGCTATAGGTTTTCTCTTTTAAACTGATGACCGAAGGTTTCAAATGATCTCTGCTATATAAAACATTGATATAAGCATATTCTTACATATTGTTTTGAGTTAGACAACACATTGTTATCAAGTCAACAATTGTTTGGTATCGTTTTGTGCTTCGACACGTGGTTATGGCTACCTCATTACTAGGCTCAGGGATATCATCAGCGACAACTCCATAAACACTTTATTATATTCATGTATTGGGAAATTACCTTATTCACAAAATAGCATGCAGTATACCTTAAATAGTCTTAGAAACCTTATCTTGTCATGTGTTATTACTCTTACCTAGGTTTTAAATATGCGGATGCAGGAAATTCCACTCCGATGATTTAAAACCGATGTACTTGGACGATATAAAATAATAAAAATGATGACTGAGTGAGTACCTATCTTACATATGAATAATTGGTCTGATTGTCGTGTGGATGAAAGATACACAATTATCCTCACTTTAAAACACTAGATGCCTAAATTGTTGTCCACTTTCCAATTTAATACTAGTGAAGATCAAATAAAGAAGTAACCGGTAATATACAGGTGACCGCAAAAAATGTGACATTTAAAAAGATCACGTACTTGTAATTTTGTTCGTCAATAATCTTTCTGTTATAAAATATACCCAATAATGAAACTAATAAACGTCTGTCTTTATCATCTGTTACTCGACCACCATAATTGCATTCACCAGTTAAATAAGTTAGTGCTTCCAATGGAACTTCATCATACTGATCTAAGAACATCTAGAAATTATTTTTAAAAGATAATGGTTTATACATGTATATATTATTGCATTAAAATTGTCTTCCGTTATGTGCACGTAAAACAGAGACACAGACGTTAAATAGATACTTGTTATTCATCTGAAACTGTTGTTCTTTCTGTATTTGAATACTATATTGGTAGTCTGAGAGTTCTGGTTATTTGTTTAACTGGCTAGGCTGAAATTTAAAAATTTAACATGATAGGAGTAATCTGCTGAGTGACACGAGAAATTTAAAGCCAACTTCTCATCATGATTTAAGCATGGAAGTTGTTATTATCAGCTGGTTGTCGAATATGTTTTGAATGTTCGTTTTATTAATGTCTAAACCTTGGAATTTGGATTAGTGAATGGTTTTCAGCTGGTTCATATTCTCATTATCTCTTCAACAGGCGTTGATCAAAGGTTTTATACAAATTGATTGACTAATTTGAAATGACTTTCATCATAGATTGACATCAGCTGTAAAACAGTTGGAAAAGTTGGTAGCGCTGAGTAGCTGTTCTGTCCTAGTTTGTCATTCAACAATGCGCAATCACGATCCTCAGGTGTTGCTAAAAAGATACTGATCAGCCAATTGTTAGAAATCTAATGGTTAGTCTTCTAGGCATCTATCAGTTGCAGTTAAATTTAACTTTATATAAGCTAGCGTTTTTAATTCCTGTTTTCGTACTGGTTGCTTTTGTCCTCTAGAAATCATTTACATGCATTAACAGTTTTTAGACATTTTGGACAGTTCGTTTTTTAATATTACGAGTTTCTCAATACTTTTGAATGATATTTTAAATATTTTAGTCAGTGGTAGTTATTGTGTCACTTATAGAAGGATAACTACAATTTAATTAGAACTGCATTGAAATGCGCTTACTGAGTGGGGTTTATCAAGTGACTGTTAGTTTTGTCTCAAGTGAAGCAATATTCAGTCCACGTAACTAAAGTTTCAAGAAGTGGATTTGACAGTGGTAATAAAAACAGAGTGAAAAGAATTACTAAAGTGACGGGACAATTGTAAGTGGTTAAAGTTGTGTTACGAGTTCAGTAAATTCGATGCTGAGTTGAAAAAGAAATATTTATCTGCAAGTTTGAACCGTATTGTAGCATTGCAACATGAGTTTATTTTACATCTTCCTAGGTAGCTTAGAACATTAGAAACCAGGTTCACTTTCTTTAACCAAGCAAAACATCCGGGGTTAGGTTTTCAGTGATAATTTTACAAAACTGATATTTAGTACCATTCCACTTTGTGTATAAAGGTAAAACTTTGTCCCCTTGCTATTCTGACAGTAACTTGTTTAGAGTTTATATATATATATATATATATATATATATATATATATATATATATATATATATATATGAAAGGTACAGAATGTCTAACCTTCATTTGTCGTACACTTATACGCAGATCAGATTCATTGAACTCGTACGGAACATTCCAGCCAAGTGGACCAAATTTTCGACGTTCTTGAACTAAGGCATGGAAAAAGCATAATCCAAATAACATTTTGTGCCAGATAGGGTTCTGAAATAGTGAACAAATATATTTCATCAATTAGTGATATACAAAGTTTTTAAACGGTCCAATATAGTACTTCACTCTAGTGGTTAGAAATGATCAACTGAAAGATAAAGAAGGGACGAAAACTAAACATAAAACTAAAGATAACGAAGAAAATCACATAAGTAATCTGTAAGAGTTAAAGCAAGTTACCAATTATCTGTAACGAAGGATTTCCTTGCCCCGGATTTGCTGTTTATTAAGTGTTTTAGTGGAAATTTCACCTTATGAAAAGTAGTTTCTCTGTGAATAAATACTAGGTATGAAGAGAAATCTGAAAATTTCATACATTTTATTCTGTCGTAGTGAATACATAGTATACATCAGAATTTATATGCGATCATGATAGCAACATGATATTTGTAATTTCGCGTTGGTGCATAGGTTAGACCTCCATCGGCACTACGAAAAAAGTCATAACATGTACAGGTATATGAATGAGAATAAATTAACTTGTTGGAAACTATTTTCTACTCACTTTTAAACAGCCATCATAGAATTCTGGATCAGATATGGGATCATTTAAATAAGAACGCAATAAATTGGAACGTAAACCTTTGGGTGGTTCATTTGTCATTTTAACACCTTAGAAGGAATAAAAAGAATGCAATATGATGTAAGCTAATTCAAGTTAATCTGGTCGAAGCAATAAATACTAGACTGACAGAACAAAATGGTATTATTTTATTTCATAAATGTCCATAGGCTTCATTTAGTCTAGAACTTCACAGTTCACTAGAACAAAATTGTATAAAAGCAAACTTTTAAGTAACATATGATAACCCAAAGGTAATCCAAAACTAAGGAATTCAAAGAATTTAGAAGGCAGGGAACCGTAAGTTATACATGACAATCGTCGTTCATTCGTACGTTGTGTAACAGGAGGCTCAAGAATTGCACAGAGGGGATGAAAAATATCAGAAGAGGAACAACTAATACTACCGGAAATATTTCAATAATTTAAAGATCCCCGTAGATCATTCAGAACAAGAATAATTTGAGCGAACAATTGTTCTCAATAACTTCTTCTTCAGGCTCTACAGTTATATATCCATGAGAATAAGTGAAATATATTAGTCGAAATAAGGCATGATGTACAATTTTTACTATACTGAGACAGCCAGTGTTATGGGTGAATGGAGATCAATCGAATGGAATGGTGGGACTATTGTCAGTTGGGATGAAAATCATGTGAATACTATAACGAAATAGAGAATAGCAAGTGTGAAGATTACGTCACGGTTGAAAATGACTACAGGTTGTGGTATGAATAAAGAAGGGAGTAAAACTAGTAACACGGGAAAATGATTGTTCAGCAAAGTAATGACAATAGACAATATAGAAGAAAGGGGTGGGAGGTTAAAATGTGCAATTTGTGATAGGAAAGATCATAAAGAACGTGTCGACCCTGTTGTGGGCCAAGGTAAACAAAGTGGATGAACATATTTCTTCTGAACACAGGTCCAGTTTTCTTGCGTTGATTCATATGGCTTAGACTATGGAAATGGTGTGATTATTATTTGACTCTTAGTAAACAAACACACACACACACATTCATGTCCCAATAAATATATATAAGTGAATCATCATCTGTAGATTTTATCTCCTCATTTCGTAACTGTACTGTCAATATTGATTTCATTGCACAACTAACACACTAGACCAACTGACAATAGTCCCACCATTCCATTCGATTTGATCTCCATTCACCCATAACACTGGCTGTCTCAGTATAGTAAAAATTGTACATCATGCCTTATTTCGACTAATATATTTCACTTATTCTCATGGATATATAACTGTAGAGCCTGAAGAAGAAGTTATTGAGAACAATTGTTCGCTCAAATTATTCTTGTTCTAAAATATTTCAGAACATGAAGTGAAATGACATCTATAAGACTGAGATCAATTCAGTAGGTTGAAATCAGTAGCCGAATATAATAAAGAATTATATAGTTAAAGTAAAAAAGACCAAATGATAATCACGACAGTGAGGATGACCACACTTTCTTTGTGTATCCGTGGGTTTGGCTGTAAGCGTTCGTAGTACCCCGCTCCCACAAAGCAGAGTAGGTCATGAATTTTCAGCAGATAGAACATATAGAAACCATTGGGAATATAAACCAGTTATATAAGCTGACGTGTGTGGTTATGTGATTAGGTATTAATTTAATTTATCATACAATTCCATTGCTGTATAAAATTATTTTATGATCACCTCCACACTTTTTGTCGGCTTATTTACTGCTAATAACATCGCTTAGCAGCATTGTATGCAGTCGCATTTGTTAAAATATAACTCTGTGCCTCAACATATAAAGGTTCTGTTTTCATTCAGCTTAAATAAATGCAGTTGAAATAATGGAAACTCAGAATCAAAAGTAAAATAAAGAATCAGTTTTAAATTAGGGTATATTTGTCGTCGCTCAATTCTTGAGACTTCAATTACTCAACACCAATGTTATCTTTCCATCAAATCAATAATTTCTATCAAAATGATTCAAGTGTGTATATATCTCTTTGTATATCCTCATATTGAAATTGTTTCAGGTTGTTAGGGGCTGGTGAGAGACTCTGAAATATAATTGATCGAAGCTATTCTGTGAAAAATATTGTTATGGTGCTATTAAGATTAAAACTAACTACTACAAAAATGGTGGTTCCTGTCACTAGTGATTTGTGGTCATATAATTACTAGCTTCTTTTTCATGAGACGATAAATACTTTTTATGACCAATATACAATAGTCTTTCTACAATTCAGGCTGATACATGTTTTATATACCGGACTACGAGCTACATATAATGTAGCAGCTTATGATTATCGGTTACTTAGGATGAAGTAATTGTAGTGGGGTTAGAAGGCGAGATGTAATGCTTGAAATTTGAAAGCTGGGACCAGTGACCTACACATTCTTGCTATTGATTGTAAAAGCAACTTTCGAACCTGCTTTATGATTGGCGTGTATCTACCATGAATTTAGTAGGAGACTTTTCGTTGTTTATGTGTCACTTTGATAACAAGAGTAACACACCTACGTTATTAAGCTGAAAGAAAAATCACAGACACGTCATTTTTTGTAATTTTCCTCAGGCAATATAAACCTAGTTTTGTGTTAACTTTTCTGAAGGAATGCTTGAGAATAATATAACTTGTCATACTGTCTCTTATGTTCTAAATTGGTGAACAAGAAAAATCTTTAGTTAAGTAGATTGTATTCTATGGTAACTGATAGCATAGGTGAAAGTTATATGATTCAGTAGCAATAAGCACTACGAAACTGTAGGATAAGTTACTAGCCTACTGTAGTGAATATTTCTATAGACAGAACTGTACTCAGTGTTAGAACGCTAACTTTCTTGCTAAAAGTTTATGAAGATAAGCGACTATATTATGTTTTTGAAGTCCAATAGTAAGATGAAATATTTATCATTTACTCCAACTGTTATTGTACTACTGATCCATATCAACTTGTGACAAAATTCATCTAAATAGTAAATCGACTTCAGTGTTCACAAATTTTGTTCTGCGTTTTTTTGTAAAGAAATGACTAAACAGAATAAACATTTTCAATTACCTACCATTTTCTAATATTGTGACAGGAAAATCTGGTGAAGGATAACTCGTAAGCCATAAGCGAAAATTAGTATCCACATTACTTGGTACAATTGTTTCCTCACATATCTTTTCTAATGATTTCATCCAACTGACAGCTAAATGGCAGTTTTGTAGTACAACCCATGTACCATCTGTAATAGCCCGTTGAATCATATTTGCAGCTATAGGACCTTGACCTTGACCAAGTGAAATTGTTTGTATACGGTCACCAGTATATCCTAAGTCTATACCAAATTTAATTAAAGCGTTCATTGGATCAGCACCAGGTGACAAAATAAATATCAGTGGTGAACAGCAATTGGAATCAGCAAATGAACCAGCTAAATCAAAAGTTGGCGGTTCAATGAATCGTTGACCCATATTTTGCACAATAAAATCCTATTTAGATCAGAAAAGAAGGCCTTTGAGAAATTCAAATAAACACGAAGTAATTCAGTTTTTCTTAAACGTTCGTCATCTGATAATTCATATACAGTGTGTTCTTTCAATGAGATGTTGCATTTCGTTTTAGTAAATTAAGATTTTATTTCATCGATATGACTCAGTGTTAGAGGTTTCAGTTAACGGAGATGGATGTGGATGGATGTGATTTGGTATTCACGTTTCACCATACGGCTTTTCAGGGAACCGCTCCGAGTATTTGCTATGGCACATTTGACAGAGAATCTTAGAAACCCACTAAGTTCCTTTACTGTCACCGGATTTTCGCTCCTCTTTAGGTCAGAGAAGAAGCCCATTGATGCACTCAAAAGACAAAGTAATTCACTAAATCCTATTTATTTGAAGCAACAACAAAAATGGTTTCCCTATTTCATTTCTCTGAGAACTTAGAAACTTAGAAACAGCTATACTGTTAAGCATCAAGACGTATAATAAGTCAAGAAAGTTGATATTTTCATCAACGTATATCTTACATGGACGTTTATCTAATTCATGAGCTGAAACTGACAGTTTTGAAACAGACTAGGCACCATCGATCGATTACAAAGTTGAGGAATGGTTGTCCTGCGTTTACATGACCTTGATAAGTTGAATAATGAGACCTGTAGATCACTTATATTCAGCAGTATATTCCTTTGTCTCAAGATTCTTCTTGCAGGAAATCTTAACTTTCATTCCTAGTGGAAACCTGCAGTTGACTAGTTGAAAGCTACTTAATTCTGAAAATGTTAAAGTAGACCGTCCAACTTGTAAATAACTTATAAAATGTTAAACCACTTGTGTATGGAGCTTATCGTGAACAGTGTGACAGAATTCCTCTATAAACTTACCTGAACGTATATCTACAGAATAGAGAGACATTTCGCTCTTATCACTCAGTCCCATTTAAGAAAATAGAAATAGGAATGAAGTTGAGGGATTTAGAATTCAGTCATTCGATAATTTTACTTACTATTAGGAGTTATTATAAAAATAGATGTTAATGTGGATTCTAAGTGGTTTCAGTCATTCATCTCAATGAATTATTTTGTACCCTATACATTAATCATTATGACTCATAAATCTGGACATCTCCTGCTATACACTCCGAATATGCCATCTGCTAATAACTTAGCACTAAAAAACCGATGTTCATTTCATTTCCTAGCCTTTTCGCGAATGTATCACATTATTTCGAATGTGTGCCCAGTTTGTTCAGTTAAGTCACCAACCGATACTTCTAAATACATTTTTTTTTGTTCTTTAGATAGTACATAGTTACTTACCTAACTCTATTAAATGCGTATGTGATATAATCATCAAGATAGTAAGTAAACTTAACATAGTAGCGCACTGTATCAGATGAATCCAAAAAATGTCTATAACTCCAGTCTAATATAAACTGTGCATGGGTACGAATCAACAAAATCTTTTTGGGATGTTAAGATTCAAACTCAAGCCATTCAATAGTGCAGTTCGAGAGACACTTTCGTTTAGTTTTTCAGATGATGAGTGATCTGTTAGAGAACTCTCGTTAAAAAAAGTGTGAGGATCAAATAACTCACGGCTTAGTACGCGATATTTATGTATAAAGTAGGTTGATGCACATTCACAAATAGCCAAGTTAGCAAATCTGAATGCGAGATAATGCTATCAATGTCAGGAAAGAAAACATACTTGTATTCCAGGGACTACTTTATCTGGTCGTATACATCGTAATACAGCCAACTTTTCAAGACCTTCCAATTTTGAAAATTTCCCCGGAATGGAGAACTTATGAGGTGAAAGGTCATCATATAAGGCTTTCCATTGATTCGGCGACTCTTGTACACCTTTTAAAACGCAATAAAATTGTAACGGAACAGAATTTTTCACAGACATTAATATAAGATACACAGTTTTGGTTAGTTGTAGTCAAAAAGCAGGAAATTGTTTCATTTATATCAGTAGTCATAAAAAGACGCGATCCAGAAACAACTTTTCGGGTAACTCAGACACATATATTACCGTTGAAAATCGAGCGATTTAAAGGGAACTGATGAAACAACTAATCACGTTTCTCTAGTCTGCGAATAAGTATCTCCCCAGCCGATATACCATAGCCTGATTGGTTATTTTGGCAGTTGTTTAGGTGACCTTTAAAGTCTCCCTTAAAAATTAGGCACTTTAGGTCACCCACTCCTCTTGTTCAAGGATTGAAAAAAATGAACATACCAGTCAGAGTGAAAGTTACTGTTTCATTTCAATCTTCACATCTAACTTAAACCTGCTGATATTTATTTATATAACCTTGCGATCATGCTACACCAACTTGTTAGAATAATGCAATCAGTGGTCCTGAATAGTTTTTTGTTCTTGGTTTTATTCATGAGGTTCCATGCTTTTACTTTTATTTAGTCCAGTCATCATAAAGTAAAATTTAGGTCAGTCTTCGAATTCAAAGGAAGAAAGAAAAGCTGGTTGAATAGACAATGAACTTTTAGCTGAGAGGTGTAGAAAACTGCCATCAAGCTTAAACTATATTAAACGGAACGGAATCGCGCTGTAAGATAATTAAGAGTGACCATACCAAAGTAGCATCTGATTTCATAAGGCTAATTACTGTCAATATAATCTATGAAAAAAAATGTAGGCAACTTAGTTGACACTCATCAGTTTCTAGAATTCCAAGGTAGGAGGGGAACGAAAGAACATTGATTCTTCTTGAAGTGCTGAATATCCTAAACCTGTATACATATCGTTCCCCTCCACCCATTTCTTTCTTCGTACTTGCTGCAATGACTTCTTGTGTGGCAAAATGAATTGACGCAATTCAGTATGCAATTCTATGTTCTTGGCTTTATTCATCTCAAAAGCTGATCTTACTCGTGAAGTGCATTAAACTTCTAAAACGACAGCTAAATATATATTTATTTGACTAACGAAAATGTTCTCCGGCTAGACTAACAACTGATATGAAGATAATAAAGTTACTAACCATTGGTCTGAGCACTAAAGATGAATGTAAGCCTCCTTATCCAGATACACAAGGATAAAACCCATTGTCTCAACGAAATCGGTCTCATCGTTTATGTCTTCCCCCAAATTTTGAACATAAAATTACTGTTAATTTATTTATCTCGGTTAGCCTTTTCGTTTTTCATTTTGAGTATGTTTCTGGTATACTTCCTCTGTATCAATGGCAAGTGTAGTGACATAACCTCGCTCATTTCTGTGCTAGGTTCTACTTTTCTCATCTTTGTGAAGATGTCTTTTACTGAGTAACACCTATTTAGTAATCAGAAATATTTTGGTGTTTAAGAGACAGGTATCTTTTTAGATCACTTTGTGTTTTCCTCAAAGAATGTGACGTTGTAGCGGACAAAAAGATATCACATAAAACTAAATCATCTGTCTATCAGTGGAGGGGATCAAGCTGTCGAAATAAGTAGCCGCAATCGAAGATTTCAGATGTTACTACGCTACTTGTAGCAACTAAGTAAAAATGTATCCCTTTTTCCGAATAAACTAGTAGCAATGCTTGGCATGGCTAAGAAGAATTTATGACGGAATTTCTGAGTTTTAAATAGAGTTAATAGGCAAAATCAACGGTCTCTTCATTGGCACTTAGAAATTTTCAAATCTTCCAACTTACATTTAAACTGTCAAGGAAAATGAAAAGGAACTTGATGGCAGTTAGATCACAAGGTTTCATATCGGTTACGCTGAAATGCTATCAATAGATATTTCAACTTTAACAGTTCGATAATGCACTGTTTAATTACTTCACTCCTAGAAATTACTTCAGTCAGTCAAGAATTTAATTTGTAATTACTTCGCTGAAGTGCATCAGTTATGTCCGACTCATTACTACTGCTAGAAAATACTCACAATAATTTCAGAAACTGATCTTTATATCTGGAAAAATTGGTGGCTAACTTATTCTGTTATTAATACTTAATATTTGTGCGTAAGTTTTGCTCAACCACTGAAAGTCACCACACCGATAAGTATTTTATGTGTTAGTTATAAGCTAGATATTCATCTCTGACTTCGATCAAAGACTTTACCAGTGGTGTTGGATTATACTCGATATTGCTCTAGGTAGTTCGTTGTTGACCGATTAGAAAGAAGACCATTTTTCTTTATTGAACCTGCAGGTATTATTCATTAAATAAAACACAACAGTATCAACAATAGTTTTTAAAATCACTTTTCACCTTCTACTATAGATCTTGACAGAGCTCATGCGTTACCCAAATGATCAGTCATTCACAATTGTGTGTTGGAGTGTCGAATTTCTTACAACGACAGTTTGTCCCTTCAGAAAACCTAGCATAGTGTATTTTACCAACCAACTCATCTTTAGATCAGTTCATTAAAAAAAATAGGTATTCTGTCAATACTGATTCATTTATATTCCATTTTTCATGGCATATCATCATAGTTCTTTCAAACTGATAACTGTATAGTATAAGCTATGTTTTATAGTCAAAGTAATTAAATTGCTTACTTTCCATAAATCCATCTAAACCGGTAATTCTGTAGCACGGACAATTTCTGCCCAGCATTTATCAGATAACCAATCAGGGCATGGATTAGGATGGGGATTTTCAAGTGCAACGCCACCAGTTAACAGAAAACGCCAAACTGTTTCATCCACTTTATCTCTAAGAATGAAGACAAATAAGCAGATTTGTTAACTTATTCATAACACAACAAATGTATAACTCATTATTCCAGTTTTTAAGAGTAATAATTAGGAATGCAAATCAAATGAGATAAACTTTCATGAACTGGTCACCCGATGTAGCAATCAAATCTCGAGTGCTGATACGAATAGGTTTATCAAAATCTGAAAGTTAAGAATTAAGTAAGTGCATCCATATATCTGTCACTAACTGTTAATCAATGGAAAAGTCAATTTTTAAGTGTTCATTGGGGGTCGAAGTGTATAGATCAAATTGAAAATACATTCTTTTGATGAGCACCAAAACGTCTGAAACCTAGGTTCAGAGCTCTGTAAATAAACAGGATTTTGAGCTTGATCACGAGGATGACTAAGGAGTTCAGTAATGAAATGAATCTTTGTTTTCTTACTTTCCGATTCATGCAAATATGTAATCAATGCAGCCACGAATTGTGCTCATTCTCTCTTCGTGTCAACGACTGATTAGTCTGAGGTTAACTCAGATAAATAGAGTGATGTGACTAACTAATTCCATTCCCTTACTCATTAGAAGCTTTAGATGTTGTCTGGCTGAGTTTGATTTAATTCCATCAAAAGTGTATGTGTACTCGTTTTGTTTTTTATTTTCACCTTTCATATATGCTACTTATAAGTAGACAAATGAATAAGACTAAATATTCTTTAAGATGAAATTTCTGAATGAACTCACTTGTTTTTCATAAGAGAATAACACATAATTAATGAGAATAGTAATTTGTGATTTTCAAATAATGAACGACAAATATTTCGATAAACACTTGTTGTGAAGTGATTGTTCAATAGTTCAATCCGTTCTTCTAAAATCGGCGACTTTTCACTACTCGAAATGGACTAGATTGCCAATAAAAAATATATATGCAAGACAGCATATATTAAGAAAGATGCAGTGAATTAGATAAATGTAAACTCCAAATAAAATCGATTGTCAAAATCGAGAGATAAGGACAGAGCTTCATTTACATTCTCACACAAGGTAATTACGAACTTTCAACACAATATGTTGCTTTCAACATTTTCGTTGAAGGAATCTAGTGCAGTAGGTACGCACTTAATCACACCCAATACGATATGAGTAGACTAAAAGCTTTGAAAATGGTAAGCAGATAGAAGAAAGTAAATATGACGCATTTGACTAGTTCTCAATTCAATAAAGTTTGAATTTTATGGTAATCCATGATCGTAATTAAGGTTTCAAATAATTTTATTCACTGAGATTATAAGATGAGATATCTCGAGGAGAATTCAGCACTGATGCATATATATATATATATATATATATATATATATATATATATATATATATATATATATATATATATATATACTTAGACATAAGTTGATACCCCTGACGAGAGCATATTGATACTAAGTATCCTACTTAATTACAATGAAATGGAGGAGAACCACTAGATAGAAAATAAATGTGTACAGAATAGAATGATTTTATCATTTTCAGAGAAAGCTAAAGGATGAACGTTTATGCCCCAATGACATCAATTTTGTACCACAATATGTGGCAGAAATCCTTAGTCATAATTCACTGAAAATCGGTTACAGAGCCTACACCTCTTCCCATGCCTTATAACAATTATCGTTTTTTCCATGGATAGAAATTACTGCTCATTATCCTTAGCAAAAAAGTAAGCAGAAACAGACCCAAATAAACTATCTCTGCAGATTTAATGACTTCAGAGTAATATCTTTTACCACCCAACTACAAATATGATAGATAAACAGACAGTTCAAAGTATAACCTTATGCAAAATTAGCTTGCTTAGGAGTAGATAGAAAATGAATGGTATGAAATTGTAGGAGACGAAAGAGAATGATGAAATAAAAGTGGATAAAAACTCTAAAAACCTTGAAAGATGGCAAACAATGTACACATCCGCAACACAGCAATCGACTTCAAACTATGTGCAAATGAGTCCCAAACTGTTGATGAGGCCTTCGCACCTTCCATTCTACTCAAACCAGTAGTCAAAAACGTCATAGACTAGTGCCATATCTCAAGGCGGCCTGCTTAAATCTTGGGCTACTAAAAAGCTTTCCACCAATTATATTCCATCAACTTCTTCCCTTTTAGTTTTTCTTAATTTTTTAAATGTCTTCTGAAATCATCATGTACTGTCGCACATTTTAAAAATGTTTTCGACCTATCGTTTCTCAAGCTAAGAACAAAGCGAAGGAAAAACTTTACGCTGGCTGCAAATGGATTTGTAAATGCTCAAAAATACACCACATTACTATTCCTGGGACATCTGTATGGGATTGTGAATATCTGTGATGGCTGACTGAACTACCACCATCAAACTTACACTCAATTTTGTGTTGATTTCCGAATCGAGAAAAGATGCTAATGTAACACTAACTACTCGTTTCCTACTTGTGCCTTCAATACTGTTATTACTAACACTATTCAGTGGCATTAATTATTTCTTTTAAAAATGCTGTATGGAAGGCGGGTTTGTTGAAATATTCCATATTGGAAATTCCATTATTATTATTTTATTATTTTTCCCTTCTCAGTGTACGCTCAATCCACCTCTACTTTCTTCGACCTTCGATAGCCTTCTTTCATCTTAATTCTGCTTGAGTTGGCATGCGCAGCACATGAAGAAGTCACTTTAGTAGGTGAAGCTTTACAGCCTCCTCTGTTGGTTTATTTTCTTTGCCTAGTACTTTACGCTTATTCTCTACATTGCTCACATGGTCGTTCCACCATAAGCCAGCAAAGCTTAGAATCCCGTTATGATGAAACCCTGTAACCCTTTAATACGTTTCACGTGCAAAGGTTATGTCTAGCACACGTTGATAGATGCTAAATAGGCCTGTTGTGTGACAGTTGATATTTGGTCAACTACCAACCTACTCCATCTAATGTAACTCTTCAACTAAGTCAAGTGGTAAATATATCCAATTATTTCACTGCTTCTTTCAAACCTAGAGTCGGGAATGAAATCGTGAAAGATCAAACACCAAGAAGTAACCAATAAAAAGTAAGTCTTAATGTAGGTTAGTATGAGGTCCAAACAGAAAACCTGTGCCGTACAGCTTCCAGTGTCATACGATTTTCCAGAAGGATGTTCATTTTCAATTTAACAAAAGACCCTGATGACAAATTCATGGGGTAGCTATAGGGAGCCCAGCAGTAAGCGCTCCAGATTCGACACCATCACCCCCTTCAAGGAAACATGCATCTGTTTAGTGTTACAAATACACCTTGACAATGAGTACCAACATGCATGAAATGTGGGTATATTAGGGTTTCTTGTAGACTGACACCAAGTATCTAACACCGAAAATGTACAGCACAGTATCCTATCACTTGGTTTAATGACCATATTATACACTTGGTGGAGACTTTGATTGGTGTTTAGGATATGAAAGTTAAATTAGCGAACAACTATCAATCACACTGTGTATGAATGATTATATATATGCCTAACAGTTTTATTTCCCCATATGCGAAAAGCAATTACATACCGACAAAAATAAATTGATAAACCACGTCAATGAATACTGATACATTGGATCAATATTTGATAGATCCGATATACAAAAGAATAAAAGTGAACCATGCTCAGCAACTGGACGATAACCATTGCGTGCTGCGTCAATTTCTAGTTGAGTAACTTCTGCAACAGCTTGTTTTTTGGTTATCTCTTCACTTAATATTTTTGATGAGCTTAATACATTGATGGCTGTTTCATTCTCCAATATATTGCCCTGTGATGTGCTCAGTACTTCCAAAATTTTATCCTCTAATTCTTTCAGTTGTCGCTTATTATCAGCTGACTCAACTATCAATTGATTTTTAGTTGCTTCTAATTGAGGCTTCTCTTCAGCTGTTACTATGCCTAACAGCTGGTCTTGTAATCCAAGTGGTGTGATCATAAAGTTGATCAAACAAACTTTCACGGAAATTTCTGGTAGGTAATGTGGATTACGTAACCTTGTGGTGATATAGAAACGAAAACCAGGATTATATTCAACCACATTATCCCCAAGACGTATACACCAACTTCCTTGTGATTTGAATATTATGCGCTGAAGTACAGGTTCTAGAAGTGGATCCAATTCTTCACCAACATTTTCCAATAATATGGGCATTCCGAACTGGATAGCATTTTCAAGGGTACGTAAGTAATGCATGTCACTCAGTTTTATAACTTGTAGTTTGTTATCTTTCTCCATGTTTTTAATCCATTTATTGGCTTGACCTTGGATAAGTTGAACAAAACATAAGAAGTCAGTAAGTTAAGGACGAGTATGTATTTGATTCAGGCAACCTTAAGCCAGAAATAATGAAGTCATGGGTCATGTACATTTTCAAATGGTTTTGACAATAAGTTAGTATAAGAAAGACTTCGAGTGACTAGTGTGAGCTTATAGGTCTTAAAACCAACTAAGAACTTTATACTGACAGCTTTTAACATGACTGAAGATGGAAAACTAAGTTATGGTATGCGCTGTCTGAAGTAGTGAATATGTCATATGTGAAGCAAGATCTGTTATTTCTAAGATGCTGTTTATAATACAGTTAGAGCGCAGTACTTGTACTCGTCGGAGACAATGCTTCAAAAAGGCTGAGTAATGCTGCCTAGCATTTGGTGATTATTGAATTCTATCGATCCGGTTTTCTGTCTGGGAATCTAGCTACGCGATTAAAAACAGTAGTACTGGTTGATGGCAACCTCGTCTGGTAAACTAGCTCACTAGTTACTAGCCGGTCCTAAGCCCGGGTAAAGAGGGAAGGTTAGGCATAGGGCTAGCAACCCTACCCCGTAAAACAAATCTAACCGCTAGAGAAACTTCGAAGCACAAACGATATATAAAAAATAATAACAAAATTATTCCTCGCTGGAATCGGAGAGGCGAAATGACGCCAGTTAGTGAAAGCCTTCGAGAAGCCAATTGGCCGATGTGTCTGCTCTTCTCTCGATGAAAGCGAAAGTAAACGTGGGGACATGGAATGTCCGTACGATGTTTGAACCCAGTAAGGCAGCCCAGATTGCAAACGAGATGAGAAGGTATCACACTGAAGTGCTTGGGATTTGCGAAAGCAGATGGAATGGGAGTGGACTCTCCAAACTGTCAACTGGAGAATCAATAATCTACTCTGGTCACCCAGACGCCAACCACCAGCACATTGAGTTATGGAGTGGTTATCATGATGTCCCCAATAGCATCGAAGGCTCTCATGCAGTGCCAAACAATCTCGTCAACGATCAGGATCATGACAGCAAGATTCAACTCAAAAGGAAGGAAGGTCACAATCATACAATGCTATGCACCTACAAATAATGCAGAGCAAGAGAAAAAGGAGGAATTCTACAGACAACTGCAATCAACACTGGACAAGACCCCACTCCAGTTGGTGATATCAAAATTCTAATGGGCGACATGAATGCCAAACTGGGAGGAGACAACACAGGAAGGGAAATAACTGATCATGGGTCGAGAAGCACTCCTTGAGGTGATGAACGAGAATGGAGAATTGTTTGCAGAATTCTGTTCATTCAACGATTTGGTGATTGAAGGCAGTGTGTTCAAGCACAAGGATATCCACAAAGCGACATGGATTTCACCAGACACCAGATGGACACACTAAAAATCAAATCGACTTCATCTCAATCTCAAAAAAATTGAGACGCAGTCTACTTGACACAAGGTCAAGAAGAGGAGCAGATGTAGGTTCAGACCACTATCTAGTGCAAGGAACACACCCTCAAATCAAGTTAAAAGCCTTCAAGGAAGTTGGTGATAGACCTCAATTCAAGTACAACACTCGGAAACTGAAGGATGAAACTACAAAGGAGATCTTCAAGGCAGCCATCAAGACAAAAGGGAGATATCGAGGAACATGCCTGAAGAAACTGTGTGGAAGAACACTGGAAGTTTTTGAAAGCTATGTGGAAAGAAACCTGCACAACAGTATTAGGAAGGAAGAAGAAGAAGATAAGGAATGAATCTCGACGGATACATGGAAGCTGATAGAGGAGAGGAGGATGATGAAGCAGAAGATAAACCAGTGCAAGGATGCTCAACGACATGAAGAACTGAGCACAATGTATAAAACACTGGACAAAGAAGTAAAGAAGAGTGCATGGGAAGACAAAAGACACTTCTACGAAACACTGGCAAGTGAAGCAGAACAGGCTGCAGGTAAGAGAGACCTGACGACATTGTATCAAATAACCAGGCTACTTACTACCTGGGAAGAGATCAACACAGATGAAACCAATAAAAGATGAAGAAGGAAATTTAATTACGAAAGAAGAGAAACAGAGGAAACAATGGGCCGACCACTTCAAAAGCTCTTGAGTCGACTACCACCACCACCACCTGCACTTCGTCCAGAAATACCACCTGCAGCCACTGAATTACAAGTGAACATAAATCCTCCAACGTACATGTAAGTTCTGAACGCCATAAAGCTACTGAAATGCGGGAAAGCAGCAGGACCAGACGGGATACCGCCAGAAGCACTGAGAACAGACGCAGAGACAACAGCGGACATGCTCACACCACACCACTATTGCAGAAGGTCTGGAAGGAAGAGAAGGTACCTGGCGATTGGAAGAAGGGTTACCTTGTCAAACTGCCGAAGAAAGGAGACCTCAGTGTTTGCAAGACCTGGTGCGGAATCACTCTCCTGTCCACCCAAAGCAAGTAAAATATTAAGCCGCATCATCCTGGAGAGGCTTAAAGATGCACTGGATTCAAAACTATGACCGAAACAGGCTGGCTGGATTCAGGAAGTACAAATCATGTGCAGACCAAATTGCAACGCTTCGTATCATCATAGAACAGAGCATAGAATGGCAATCAGCTCTCTGCCTCAACTTCATCGACTTTGAGAAGGCCTTTGACAGCGTCGACCGAGAAGTAATTTGGAAACTGCTTCAATACTACGGAGTACCGCAAACCTTTATCCGCCTCATTCAACAACTATATGAAGATGCCACATGCCAGCCAAGTAATTCACAATGGGAAGCTCAGTGATGCTTTTGAAGTGAAGTGGAGACAGGAGTGAAACAAGGTTGCCTACTATCCCCCATGATATTCCTGATTGTGGTCGACTGAACTGGATCATGCAGCAAACAGTGGGGAGCGAGAAGAGGGGGATACGCTGGACTGCGGAAAAGAACCTAGAAGATCTGGATTTCGCCGATGACTTGCGCCTGATGTCACACAAACTTGAAGATCTACAGGCGAAAACTAACAAGTTGACAGAAGTGGCAGGGCAGCGAAGACGGGACTTCGAGTGAATATAGAGAAGACAGAGGTGATGAAGATACCCAACTAACAACAACAACAACAACAAGCTCCAATCACCATCAACGGGAGAAACTTAAAGGAAGTAACCTCCTTCACTTATCCATGAAGCACTTTCAACTACAGGCGGGACAGACGAGGATGTCAAAGTCAGAATCGGAAAGACAGCAAGACAGGCGTTCATTAGCCTGAAACCAGTGTGGAGATCTTCTTCACTCCACTCAGCATGTGAAACAAGATCCGGATTTTCAACACCAACGTCAAGTCAGTGCTCTTGTATGGCTCAGAGACTTGGCGCCTTACGAAAGGGATTTCCAATAAACTACAGACATTCATCAACAACTGCTTACGCTCGCTACTGAAGATCAGATGGCCAGAAAAAATAAGCAACAAGGAGCTCTGGGAACGAACCAACCAAGAACCTATCACGCAACAAATATGCAGGAGGAAGTGGAGATGGACTGGGCATGCACTGAGAAGGCCAACTGGAGACACCACACGCCAGGCTCTCGAGTGGAATCCCCATGGGAAGCGACGAGTTGGACGTCCGAGGGTGGCATGGAGAAGGTCGTGCGAGGAGGAAATGAGAGCTTCTGGGCTGTCGTGGAACCAGGTTCAAAAGATCTCAGAGAACAGAGGTCACTGGAGACGTGCTACTGAAGCCCTATGTTCCACTAGGAACCCAAGGGACTAATAATAATAATAATACTGGTTGATGGCAGTTGATAAGAGGATGCCCGGCTTAATACAGTTCTGCATCTATTGAAACTCATCAGCTAGGTATGTTGGAAAAGATACTATCTTTAGGCTGCAAAAAGTGCTTCACTCAGTGCCATAATTACAAATGTTATTCGCGAAGTAACTTCGCCGCAGTTACAACTTTTCACGCTTAAACAAACAGTAACCCATCACTTCAGTCCAATCAAAGACGGGAAATCACAAGCTATGATATCAAATCTTTACCTCATCTCAAATTTTCTAGAATGACTTTGTAGACCAATCATCATTAATAGTTTATAATCAAAAAATTGGATGAGATATATTACGTAACAACACTGCTCCAAGCGGACTATCTCCAGGCTTTACTCTGATATCGATAGTGCCCTCTTTCTCTTTGCTGGTGATATTTATGGGTGAGAAGCAGGTGTGGATGGAGAAACAATGGTTTCTTATCCACTAACATCCATTCACGTTTGGAATTAGTGTAAATGATATTTGTTTTGATTTAATGTCAGAATCTCTATTTTTGCTTAAAATATAGCATATACCAAATAGTTATTTCTCTACTTACTCTTCAGAGTAAACTGATCTCGCTCTAAATGTTGAGCATTTGATTATATTGCAACTGTATATACTGTCACAGTCATCGGTTTCCCGGATATACTTCTCTTTATGGAACTCTTTCCTTGTCATGAAACGCTTCAAGAAAATGGCATGATATTGTTGATTTTATTTTCGTAAGTGAAATGAACTGATAAATTAGTGGTTTCGAAGCGATTCATAATTGGATGACAGCACATAGACTTACTGAGGACTGGAAAAGTATCACCAATATATCGAAAGTACAACTACATATTAGTACTTTCATCTTTCAAAGGCTGTCCCCTAATTTTGCCAGAAATATGTCTGTAAATGTATGGCTTGGTGGAGATCCCATTACCATCCTGTCAACTTGCCTTCACAAATTACTGTTGAACATTGTGTACATTTTAACAGTAGTTCGTTCACAACTGTCTGCAAATGCAATCCATGTCTGATTTAATTTTCATATAGATATAATGAAATAATCTCGTTAAGCAGCAATTTTCATCCTATCCACATCAAACTTCTACTAATGTATGTACTTAACATGAAATTTATTACATGAAATACATCTGTTCACCAAATTTTACATTAATATAATTCGTACCTTGTGGATCTATACACAGTGACCATCTGTCAGAATTCGTAACGATTATACCATTATCTGTAGAAAAGCTATCCACTGGCAGTCCAGCAATATTCCACGACCGGATTTTCACTGGGTCACCTAAAGTATCTGAGATACGAAATACTTCAGAGCATGGAATTTCCAACTTTTGGCTTAATTCATGCCATTCATTTTGGATACGAGTTCGAAAATCAACAGTATAGGGACCTAAGTAGGCAACAACTCCTGCACTTAATAAAACATCTCCAATAATATTCACATATCGTTCCTGTTTAAAGAAATAAAAAATGGATAAGCTTTTCTCAGTTCAAAATAGTGTGTTAGTCATTCGAACTGAAATCTATTTTGATAGTCTGGTTTTAAATTTTGAGGCAACCATACAGCTCCCATAGAACCGAAGTTAAATAGTCTTTAGCTATGAAGTTTGTTCATCTGTGATGATTAGTTACACACCAAAGCGTTGTAAGCCAGTCAGATTAAATGTCATATCGATTGAAGGGGTTAGAAATGGATCACTTATCATTATTTATCAGCAGATTTACGGTATTGTGTTCTTTGAGGTGGATATTTTGGTAACAAGCTTTCATTCCCATTAAAGACAAAATTATCTACATACATATTAGACAGCAGTGGGCTATAGAGATATATTTCATCAGGAATTAATTGTATCTGGTTGCCTATTTTAACTGTAATATAACTGCTCACATATTTTTTTGATTTGATTAGGCTGCTGACCTGATCTCTGACCTTCTAGTTGCTGATGGCTGCAGGTAGTTAACAGATAACTCTGCTTGACACAGGTTTTGTTCGTTACCGGTTATCAGAAAGTGATTTTGGAACTTCGACGAAAATTCTGCTTTCTGAGACTCTGGTACACGAACACTAGTGTTATTCACAGTTGGATACCTCGCAGATAAACTTCGTTACTAGAGAATTTTATAAACCCGATTGTGTATATTTTCTAATCAGGTCACTAGTAAGTCAGATGGGCAGTCAGTTAATTGGTCAATACCTGTTCAGTTGAAATAAAGAAGGGATCAAAGCAAGTATTAAGTTAATGGAAAACGTTATAGCAAAAAACAAATATTATTATGAATATTACCTTCAACATTGCAGCTGCTTCAGTCCAACGTGTTTTCTCACCGCCTAATCCACTGATCAACTTTTCAGCACGATCTAACTTTTTACTACATAAATCAATATTGTCTTCTAAATCTTGCTTTTTGCTTTGCATTTCATCTAGTTGATCTTGCAGAGTTTGAAACTTGGCTTGAACTTCATTCAAAGCAGCTTTCTTCTCAGCTAGTCTCGCTAACTATGTACACAAAAAAAGATAAATAGTTGACTACAAGTGCAATTATTTTAAAGGGGATACTTTATTTTTGCTAGGTGACTACACTTGTGTTTCACTATTGCATTAGTAAGCAAATTACACTACAGAAATTTTCCGGATTATAATTTTCTAATTATCATCTCCTAACTACATTGAATTAACTTTGGTAGATCTTTGGTTGCAACTCCACGTGAAACTTGCTATGACCCTTCCTTCTGTGCAAACAAAACTTTAGTCCTTTTAGATTGACCAGGGTTGAAAAAGCATTCTAAAAGTCATATCTCATGTAGACCTTGTTTTAAAAACCAATATAGCAACAGAAGCAGTTAGATAGTCTGACAAATCGAAAGCTCCTAGGTAGTATTCATCCCAAACCAGCATCACTTGTGGAACCACTGAAACCCTATGAGCACCGAACATCGGTTTCTCCCTAGTATAATACTTCTCAGTATTGTGCATTCATAACATCGCCAGGGATCGATCCAGAGCTGTTACGTTTCACGACAAGCACATTGGCTGTTCAGCTACTAGGCTGAAGTCCAGTGGTTCATATTCACTTACTTCTACCAATCCATGACATGGAGCGACCATTATCTGATTGTCATTAGTGATTTGTATCAAAATGAGATTTTTCGAAGTTCTAAAAAAGAAGTGGTGACAGACTTTTAAAGCTTTCATTGGAGCTGATGCAACTTCACCCACTTGACTTATCCGTCAAGTAGTAGCATTTCTATATTGTCTTCAGCATAAATTTGATCAAACATAAATTTTAATTCAACGGTTTTATTTTCAGATAGTTCTCCCATGTTTTGCAACTTGAAACAAATGATGAAGTAAATATACCCAATATTAACCAAAACAAACAGGTGGAATTCATCAAAATATTGGAAAAATAACCTGCATCTGAATGATTCGTGCCAACATCAAGATTCCTTTCATCATGACAACTTCCTAATCCTCTTTGGATACAGTAGGAACCATAAGACATGAACTGAACTACTACAACGTAGACTGTGATCCTGCAATTTGTAGGAATGGAAGTAACAGATAATTTGTTTATCTGTGTACACCAGAATACGTTCCATAACTGCAAGACCTGATAGTAGACGCTGACAAAGGTATGGTAGCTTTAATGCCTGAAATGAATGCTGCAGTTTCTTTTATAAAGCACAAGTCTTGAATGAGGACCTTCCCTATCCCTACTAACGTTTTACAAAACACCTGAAGAAACCGCTGAAGGCGAAGAAATTCTCAAACTACGTGAAATACTCTGTTGGACAATGGGTTATCTGGTTGTTTCTTGGTCAAAAAGTCTATGTTAAGAAAAGCTGAAAAGTACTAGAACACACATGGCTTGCCTACAGTTCTAAAGAACGTTTATGTGAAAACGGATTTTTTTCAAAGTGCTTTCAGTTCCTTATTTGTCTGTGGTGACAGTCATGTTGCATTGTGTATTTGAGACTATCCATTGTACTCTGCGTTATTGCAGGTGTTCCTTGTTTTCTTAAAGTTTATTTCGGTTATTTCTGATGTTTGTTTGTTGTTCTTCTACGAAATTATTTTGATGTATTCATAACTTGCACTGAACTCTAAATACTTTCCTTCTGCTTGTTCTTCTTGGGAGTCCTGGTCAAGAGCATAGTCATATTAATTGATGTGTAGTCAAATGACTGACTTCACATCATGACAGGTTACTTCCGCCTGATATTGGTTGTCCAGCTTCATATCGAAAATTGGGGGGGGGGGGGTTAGTATAAATCTGGTTTTTCATTTTCCAGTGTAATGATTAAGTTTTGACACAAAATAGTCACTGAATGACAACGTCTGCAGCTATCATACTCGATTTTATACATCTACCACTCACTCAGTGAAACTATTAAGCTGCGTGACATGTCTCAGAAATTTGATAATACCATACTAATCCTGATATAAGCAGACGCAAACCTCCAGCGAAACAACAGTAACAATTTTACACATGGACTTTCCTGTTGAGTGCCGTCAATCAAGAAATATAGGTTAAGCATGACTTCCTGTCAGTTGATTTTAAACAGCTCCATCAAACACTGTAACATTTCCTATATAAAAGGCGCCATTTCATTGTTTTTGTTCATAGAAATGTTTAATAATGGAAAGTATCAATAGTGCTATAGATGGTGGGATATTGCATTTGGAAGGTAACCTTGAAATAGCATTTTACTCACTTGTACTTCAAGTTCAGCCTCAGCAATACCCAACTTCTCTTTCTTCGGCGCAACAATTTTAGCCACCTTGTCATATTTATCCAATGCTAATATCCACTTGCATAAACCCTCACATGCTGTACTTGCATTGCGTACTATTTTCGGATCAAAATCTGTATTCGGTACATAATTTTCCCGAATTTTTTTTCATTATCGTTGCTGGAATATTGTCGATTTGATAATTTCTCAAACGGTCTAAAAATTTAAGATCACCTAGCAACTTTAGTGATGGACCCCAATAGTCTTCAACCATCCGACCAGTACCATCTGGTTTACGATCAGCTTTTTCACCTAACATAATGCAGACGGCTTCCATAACTAACTTAACAACACTTGGTGGATTTTTCATTGACTTAACCAAAGTAATATCCTAGAAGAGAAGAGAAGGAATAAAGAAAAGCCAATATATTTACGAAACCAATTAGGAATGAAGACATTACATTATTTAAATAGCAAAAGAAGGAAGAATAAAGTGGTTGTGAGGATACATGCTGATTCCAACACCAAATGATGGTTGTACTATATCATCTATCAATTGAGGCTGAAAAATGTTGATCACTCGGTCTCACTCCAGTGGCTAAAGATTAACCTGTTATTCAAGGGACCTGAGAGCCCTTAGCATGATATCATTTGAGAATGAGGATATCAGCCACTGAAGAGTTATAAATATTTAACACAAAGCTTTTGAACGCCTTCCTTTATTACCGCTAATTCCGTAACTGATTTAGTCTATAATGAAAAAATCTTGCATAAATACATGTGAGCCAAATAAATATTCTACTTTAGTGGCTGCCTACCAGGAAATGGGAGTTGAATTTTCTTATTTTGTAAAGCACGGAGTTTTCATTTTCGCTGGCAGTAGATCAAATGTGAAAAGGGTGTTGTGGTAGACTACATTAGATCATTATTATTACGAAGACGAAAGCACTGAAAATGGGACTTGGAAATTAGAACCAAATATAGGTTGTTTTGGCTAGGGTTCAAAGGAACCATCAGCTGTTGTTGTTGTAATGCTCAAAATGTCAGAACGTGCTAGAATGACATAAACGTAGTTACTCTCCAGAAAAATTATTAAAAATGACAAACGGAGACATTTGTGATACTTTGTATCTTTCACTTAGAGAATGCCTTCAAAGCCGAAACGTTACGGTAACGATACTCAAATATCGTAAGTATTCAGTTGTACTGTACGAAAGGTGGTCATTTTCGGTCATCTACTTAAATGATTTTTTATTGGTAGGTGAAAATTTGTATTTACAGTCACCGATATTGACTTTTACTTGTGATTGTAAATTGATGATCTGATCAAAAATAAAAATTGATGTTCTGATGGGACAGAGACTAATGAGTAAGGAAGCACATAAATGACAAAAGTTGAGCAGACTGAAGGCTGAAAATAACCATTTTGAAACAAAACTGACAGCTAAAAATAATAAGTCTATCAGATGGAACAATGATAGCGCATAAAGATGAAAAAAGCAGAACCAATAAATGGAGAATTACTTGAGAAATCTCGATTGATTGACCAGAACACACTATTCCATTTTATCATTTGACTATTTGAGATAGCCGCAGTTTGGCAGACTAGTATTTATACTGGTTGCTGGTTCGTGTCCGGCCCTGGTTCGAGTTTTCATTTCACCTTCAATCATCACCCAGTATGTTTCATTTTAGTTTGTTTATTGAAATTGTCACAGTGAAACATTATAATTCATTGGATAACGTTCCAGACATAATTTATTCCCCTTGTGTCCATTGTGTCCACATGAATATGGACAAGAAATTATGTCCGAAATGTTATCCAGTAATGATACACTATGTAACACACGTAATAAACAGAATGAAGTGGAATTACAATCTGCCACAGTGCCCAAGTTTTACTCTTATATTAGCAGAATATCTTATGCTGTGTACTCATTTCAGATGAATGAACTCTGCCAGTAAAAAGTTTGATTGGATAAAAGAAAACCAATCATTTCTCATAAGACGGTAGTATACAAAAGTTATTTTTTTACACCAACCTGTTCTTGACCAAGATGATCACCCTTAGAATAATATATTTATGATCATGACTTATAATCATGACATAGATCACGAGCTACATGTATTTTTGATGTTTTATTTAGACATCTTTGGTATTGTCGGCATTTTCAAAAACAATAAACTTACACTTTGCTTCAGTGTGTCTAATGATGCCAGTGCTTCGTTTAATATTGGCATAGCCTCGGCCAAGTCCGCTTCACATTCATCTTTAATAGCCTTTGATGCAGCAGCCGCTTTATTGGCTATCAGTTCATCAGATGCACTATCTCACGTTGAGCTTCAACTTCAACAGAGTCTTGTGCTATCTTTGTCAGAAGGATATCAGTCTCTGTACTAGTTTCAATGAGCAATGGCTGCAGGTCACGCAGTTCAATTTGCATTTTTCCAACTTCGCCAGAAGCGAATTCCAACTTATCTAAGCCAGTTAAATAGCGATTACGCATCGTAGTCAATTCTGTACGTTTTTTATGCAATAACTTTTTAAATGTAAGTATCATTTCTAAGTACGATGTTGGTGTTACATAGCTATGCCGACGTAATTCTTCTAAGAATCTACATAAAGGCAGAATGCAGAAGAACAAAGGAAATATTATTTATTAATGATTTGAAAAGTGATTTTCAACATGAATGCAATCATGACAAGATGAATAACATTTTTAGGTGGATATGGAAAGTGAGTACTTATGGAGAGTCCAATACTGATTATTTCAGTATTCACCCTCATCAATATATACGGTTATAATATGGTTCGCTCCTGAATTCATATCTGTTAACCACATTTGCTTTGCGATAAATTCTTCAAGGGTTTTAAATGACTGTATTTCATGTTTGACAAAATATTTAAACTCTTGTGATATTGGAATAGTGAAGCAATTCCATGGGGAAGCATATGGCGACGTCTTTTTTTACCTTACTTCACTACACATTCATGATTTTGTCATTATATTGCTTATACTTAATGACCACAATTGACACAAAGGGACTTAGCATTAAAATAATTATGTGGGTGGCTAGTGTTTATTGACATATATATGATTCTCGAACGCACTGACATAAGATTAACGTGCAATATTGAGCATTCATGAAATAATAACCCATCATAGGCTGTGGTCCAAAAAATAATGTGACAGTGAAAATCATTCAGAAAGTATTTCGTAATATATGACTATGGAAATGCATACAGTAAAATATCCAGCTGATTTTAAAAAGTAGCAAGATTCATAAGCACACATTCACAACACCACCTAAAGTCATCAGGTAGGAAAAGCAAAATACCAATGTATGAAACAGAATTTAAAAACTCGGGAAAATTTTTGATTAAGATTGTGCTTCTCATGTACTTTATCCAGAAATGAACAGAAAATCATCACTAAAAGATATTCACTCATGTAGAGATTGAAGATATTTATGTTATGAAAACATTTATCTGTGATCTCTAAATATCTGAACCTCGGTTTTTAAAGTATCACTATTCATTGTTTCATCCCGCATTACCAACTGTCTTTGATTCATTAACTTCGATTACTAAAGACTGGGGCTTCACGTGTACTTTGCACTCAAAATATGAAAGGAGGATATATTATAGAAAATTTCATTACGATAAGGAAAACATCAACTTGGTGATTGAGTCACTTTCCTCGTTGATGTAAAACGATTTGATGGGAGATACAAGCGAATGCACTGAAATAGTAATGAGTGATTTCCGAACATGAGGCAGAACTCTCCAACTATCTATTCCTAATGTTAGGAAAATTTCAGCCACAAAGCTATCATTTTCCTAAACAGTACAAACCAGAAGTAAGTAATTTCTTGGATAACCTCAAGATCACATTTTTATTAACTGACTTACTTTCTTTGGTTTCAACTGCATGAATAACCACAACATTACTCGCTCGGTAGCTACTTTCAAAAATGCGTACAACTGAAAGCATCATGATGTTGTTCTAAACATTTATTTCACAATCGTTGAGTAAACAGAGTGAAATGCCACATATTGTACACCTGTTTTATATAGGCAATAAGATATCTTTCCTGTGTGAAATATGTGAATAAACTTATGAATTCATAATAAACCCTTTGAGTCCTTTTCCATCGAAACTGTATCAATCATAGAGTAGGTGGAATGATCAATGAAGATCGTACTTCGCTTTCTATCCTCTATGATTTCTGTACGCATTAAGAATGTGAACAACAACCAACCGGTTCAGGAGTGTCCTTACAGTGTCTATCTTTTGTTCTCATAGGTAGACATTCTGATTAAGCACCTTACGATTTCGGCCTTGTATCCGTTCTATATATTTCCCTAAATACAATATTATTGTGCATTGTGTGGACTACCAACCTGATGTTACCTTCTATCTGAGTCATCTAGTGTGACAGCGGTAAGTGGATCAACTGAAGGATAGTTACGCAGAGTAGTAACAATCGTTAAGACCAGCGTTTGGTATTTCCTTCAACCCACTAATCATAGGACCAAACAGGAAACCTAAACCAAAGTTGGGATCATTAACGACGGCCAAATCTTCAAACCATGGACCCAACATTCTTAAAGGAATAATTAGTGACTATTCACCTGAAAGTATGGTGTGATATAAAATAATTGTCAAACTTTCATTCTATCAATTCAGAGGATCGTGCATTTAACAAGCATCCTTTTGTAACAAGGAAATGCTGTTAGAATATTCTATGTCACTTAGGATGTCTAAGAACAGGGAGTCAAACCGTGACAAGTCGAAAGTTAACTTCATCTTCAGTATTTTGTATGTAAAAATACTGGTTTTTCGCACAATCATGTTTTTCTTTGTTATATTTTTTCTGCTCCAATAAAAATCAATATTTTTGGACACTGAACTTACTTTTCAGCTAATTTTCTTACACTTTCATGAAAGTATTTGCATAATGTTACTGAGGATTCACGCGCATTTTCTCCAAACTCAATCCCTTCAAAGTGTTTATTAGCCACCATCTCCAAAGCATCTTCAGGCCAAACCTTAACATGTCATTAATTTGAAAAGACATAAAATATTAGGTATTTTGTGCTTCAGATTATCTCAGTAGGAAATAAAACGATTTATATCAACAAATATGCATCAATATGTCCATTGCTTTCGTATGAAAATGTTTAAAAATCTGTGTGATTCGTGAATAGATTCATATGAAAAGGTGAGTATATTGCTTAGCGATTCCCTCTGTTTTAATCTATGATTGTGGTACATGACAGCTAAAGTATGAAGACCTGAGAAGGCCCCAAGTACAGGATTAAGGCATCGTTCAGTATTTCCGGGCGTTGGTGCAACCAAGGAGAGTATTATGGATCTAGTACAAAAAATGTAAATACTAGGAAGGTAGTAAATCGATGACACCTTGAACCTGTTACAAATGAAGTGGTTTGGGTCACATCTTACTCTTGGTAACCACCTTTCACCCTGATATGTCACAGTGGCTGAACTGACATGATTTTTGAAGATAGTTTAGGGTGTTTATACAATTTGGAATAACCATGACTATTACTCAAAATTGATATGAGTAGTGTGACGATGCGATTACCCACAAGCTGGGATATTTAACATGCAAAGAATCAATAGTGGAATGCCTTTAAACCAGTCAATGTTTAGAATGCACTCACATCCACTGAGAGTTTGTCTAGCACCCACCACTTCAAAACTGCTTAGTTATGACTACTATTCCCTGAACCCTTGGTATATTTCGGTATTGCGATTTCCAATATTCTTGTTACTTGGTTACAGGGCCGAATTTTTCTTATGGCTTACTCTCTGCCGCTATTCTGGCTATATGTTCCTTGTAGAATATTATTGACTTTGCTAATTACAGTTTCACGGAATAGCTAAGATTGTAGCTGTTTATCATGAGTTCTGGGAAAATGCTTCATTTCTAAGAAGTATGAATTTGCCTGTATCTTAAATTTGTCGTAGTCAGAAATGGTGTCTTGCTATCCAACTCTCAATGAAGAATGTGTAATCCATGGTCCTAGGTTGTGGTATTAGATATGTTCAAGAATGTATTCCAGTAACGATTATTAGAATGGTATGAAAAACATAAAGATGGACCTGTGGAAGTAAATGTTCGCAGAGTTTAGGTTGCATTTTAATGTGCATTAGAGTGAGATTAAAATGTTTGTGTAGAAATCTACCAAAAATAACACCCTATTAACATTTAACCACAACAACGATAATACTGCGAAAACTAAGGTGCACAACATTAAGTGGTAATAATAATAATAAGCATTATAGGTGTGAGCAGACATAAAACACTAATAAAAAGGTTTTTTTTTCAAGCTATGGCACTTCACAACAATGAATTTAACAGAAGTGGAAATGCAGTAACATGAACATGACTAGGGACGGAAAGGAACAAGATTTTTTGGTAGTAAAGTCCATTCAAGTAAGTGAGAAATATGACCATCAAGTTAGACAAGTTGTCTGAATACATCAGTGAATCTCTTCCAGATGACTGTTATTTTGGCAGTCAGCCTACCTAGGTTACAATGTAAGTTGGACTATTGGGACCAATCACAACACCCTTAAAACATCACCCTCTTCTTCCTTCTTACGAACCATTATCCCAACTGATCTTTAAAATTGAATGCATATCACCTACCAAGTTTAAATACACCCAATCCCCTCCCGTGTACCGCCTTCTACTGTGCTGTCTATTTCAGGAGAATTTTTTTGAAATCGATTACTGACATTTTAAATGACTTATCAGTTTCTCTAATGTTTTTCAGCCTTAGTTAATATGATTAACTTGAGTTGTGATTTGGGGTAGACTGAACAACCTAGCTCAGAGACACGACTAAACAACCCAGTTCAGAGAACACTACTAAACAACTCAGCTTAAAGAGCACAATACAACCAAGACCATCCACCTCAGCTACAAATATTCTCCACCATTTCAAACTGAAGAGATGACGGTCAAGTATTTCTTACAGCTTTCTAATGAGCTATGGGTAAATTAGATGGGCTTGTTATACAAGGAAAATGTTGAAAAGTTTTCAGTACGCTGGTAGCACTAACGTTAAATAGCTAAATCAATTGACAACTTTATTCCGTTGGTTGGTGAAATTTGGTCATCATTTAGAACTCAAAACGTACAATAGTAACTGGTGAACTTTTCGTGTAAACAACTCAGTTCTAATGGTCTCTTGTAATGTGAGCAGCTGAGTAGTGAAGTATCTCACTTCACTGCTGAGTGATGCAAGTCTGAATCTTCGAAAGCGCATAAGATAGCTCGTAGATTCAGACTGTCATTGCTATACAGTGCCAAAAAATAGGAAATTCGAGGAAAACAGGACTTTCTTTCAACTAACTCTGAAAATCTAGCCCCAAGAAGGTGCATACCAGACTTGTACCAATTAGCCAAATATCCATATCCCGAACTGAATGGACAAACCTCTGTTAGAAAATAGAACTTGAGAGCTACAATGGCTACCTTTTAGATTTCAATCCATTCAAAGTGTAAGTTCATTTGCTGATGAGTTTTCCATTGTTTGTTAGCACATAAGATAAGAAGCACTAATGAAACAAGCGTCGATGAAGATATAAAATGAAGATTCTGACTTTGATATTGAATAGTTATCAAATTATGTCACTAGCTGATACGCGAAATAAGTAGGATTAAAAGAAGTGCGCGAAAACTAGTTTAGCAGGAGCTACTCATACATGCACACACCACTTATTTAACTTACTTCTCGTTTTGCCTAAAATATTAAACATTATTACGGAATACAAAAATGTGTCAGTATATCTTCACTTTTGAATTCATCATACTGCAACTCACACAGTGCCTTACCCGACCTGGTGCCAGTACGGATGGCAGGTTAGTTCTGTGCATTGTAACCTATTGTTAATTGATTTCATTATAAACAGACGGAAATCCAGTAAACCTGATTAGTCATAAAACCATGTCTTTCTGTTTTTCTTTTCTCTGCCAGAATCTTCAACTGGCTGGACCAACTATTACCACTTAAATAAGGCATACTCCTATGGATACCATTTTACAATAAATTGTCTGCAGGTTAGACTCAAACCTATCAATACATAGTAGTTACACTATTCATTAAACTTTGCTCGTGCTAAGGAAAATGCAAATAAGTGGTTTGTTGTGGTATGTAGGATCGGGAGAGATATATGTTAGATCAAGAAAACAAAATATGGCATCACTTTGTTCAGTATGCTTTTCTTCACAGTTACAAATCTGTTTACTTAATAAAACGATATTTCAGTAATTCGGGTAATTAACTCATTCAAACACTGATTTCGCTAACCTCAGACCACATGTCAATAGAAAGAAGCTCTTGGTACAGTCTTAAATTTAGCAGGTAGGGAAATTTTGTCATGGTGCATTAAAGGAGCTGTATTCTCACGGCATTTCCCCGTGGAATACCTATGACATAATTGTCCTCTAGCTTGGTGGGAAAACGTTCAACCAAAAATTCTCCCTGAGAGGTCTAAGTCAGATAGATCCATCTTCATCGATTTTTCTGTGAAAATCTAAGCAAGAATGGTGATAGTCGACATCGTAGATGACTACGACTGGTTGTTGTCACCTTATATAATAATTGTTCGTAACCCCTCATGAGGAACTCAACTCTATAGCTGTGTTGACTGTTCGTCTGAGCCTTACGAGAAGGTGTAGGTCACTGGCTGAAGTCTCTGAGACGAAAATAAGCAAATGTCGTCACAATGATAGACAAAAACTCGCTTCTTGTCAACTACAAAATGTTCAACATTTTCCTTACCCTTATTTTTTGTCCTGTATCGTCTCATGCTTACTAACTGATACATTTTTTATTGTCGATTATTTCTTACCAATAATGTAATTTTTCTTCGTGTACCGATGCGTAGTGTGATATTTTTGAGTTCTGAACTATCATTTGTTGTCATTCATTGGAAAAACTGTTTGACTTACACAATTACTCTATCATCTTAAAAGATCTTGTTCAGTGAATTTTCATGTATCCGATTTAGTAAATGGCATAATATCTAAATCGCCAATAGCTACAATTCTCAAATTTTTCAAAATATGAAGGTCATTATCTTCTCATTTAATTGCCTTACTATTCCATTCAGTCACTTCTGTTAGTCTATTTTACAACCTCTTGAAATGAAAACATCATTAGAATTCAAGTTTTGCACATTCTGAAACAGTACAATTCCACATATCTACATAGGTTTCTACCTAATTCTTGGTAGAAATTTTCCCGACTTTGATATGCCTTCTTTAACAAACACTTACTCAAATAGATAATTATGATCTTTTGTCTGAGAACACAAAGATCGTTTTAGAACATCAAAACAGTTTGTTATCAATATGCTTCAATATTTTATACCTACTGCAGTTTAACACGCTAATTTCTGTGAAATAAAACCACTAACGATAATGGGATCCAGTCGCATTCCAAGTAGCATCGGTCTAGCTTTTTAGTAGGAACCTCCAAAATATATGCATTATTCTCCTTTTGAGTGCTGAACTAGTCTAACGACTACTAGAAAATAATTATGGTTGTTAAAAATCTACATAGTAATGATTTCAAGTCAAGTTTCGTAGGAAGCGATTCCTATCGTAGAGATGAATGTAGGGTTGAGAACGAATTTGTAAACGCTTATTTCACGTATTTTGAGGACCAAGAAGACAATAATTCTCCATGTGAGTCATATGAGGGTGTAACACACTATCGACTTTAAAGGTGGCTCTTAGTGAAGTAACTATTTCTCTTATTTTATTTTGCCTGTCAAGATGATTTGATAGAAATATAGAATCTTGCCATTGTTAAGAGAATCTTAGACGACCTTGAGTGCAACAATACGAGAGTGAACTGCAAATTGATTTATATGAACTATGATAACGATTCGACTTAAGGGTACCATGCCGAGTAAAAAGTTGACTTACGATTTATGTTATATTTGCATTTTATTTATTTCCTTGAAGAAGATCATGTGTAACGTTGAAATTATTTAATTTCAAACACACTGACTTATAACAAATTTAGCCTATATCTAACAATATGTATTCTTATTTTTCTATTTGATAATGAAAAATAATAGGGAATTATTGTGAATATTGTTTTTTAACTTGATTGATGAATTTTACATCGGTTAAAGTCAAAAAAGGCTTTATAAAAAATCTGTCTATGTGGCTCCATAGCATTAATCTACATGAGTTGCCAGAATGGCGTAAATAGGCTTCAAAACAACTCCAAGTGGATTCTACACTTTTAGCATTATGAACTTTGGTAAAGTATCTACGAAGTGCTACATATGGACAGTAATGTGTTGGTCGTACCCACACCTTCTCAGACATCTATATACCTTTCAGCTGTCGGTGTAAACAGCAGTCCCAGGGAGAAAAAATGTTTTAAGAATTGGAACTATTTTTGTAAACTTGCGATTGTCCACCTGAAAATGTCTTTTCCAAGATATTCTATCCCAAATTCTAAAATCCGGCAGATACAAAAGAAATAAACAACCTACTTATTCTTTCTTTGCTTGTCTGCCTCGACTACATTTTTTTTCCTTACAAATGTTTTATCTATCTCGTTTATTTCACCTTGCCCACTGCAGACCATATGCATTTCTCAAAGAGTTTGGTAAACAGTATCCTGATACCACTGTGCAGCTGTCATCTCTGTCTCATTCACCAAGTCTGCTGTGCTCGTAATTGGTATCCGCTATACAAAATGCAGTAGGAAGTTTGATTTCGGAAAGTGCATGGCTTATTGCTCCTCAATCGCTTATTATCCGTGAGATATGTGACTATATTCTCCCCACCTAAATTTCCATGAGCCTATATAATCAGAGACCTTCTTACCAGAGTAAACATTCTACAATGGGGCCACACACTCTCCTTCAATGTTGCTGGTTGCTTCATTTTCATTGAGGATTTGCTCAAGGACAGTAAGATTTAAATTCTCCCGATAATTTTTCGTCAAATGGAGAAACTTACTTGTACTTTTTGCAGTCGCTAGAGTGGCCCTTAAAGCCATTCTCAATACACTTTTAACTGGTATGTCGCATATTCAAGTGGCTAGTTTTGTGGTGCTATGTTAGTATAACAGGATAAAGTAAAGGTTAAAATTCATAGCTGGCACAATGAAGTATAATTCATAGTGTGAACTCGGCTATGAATATTCCTTTGAGATGAGTGAAATTATGAATTCCAGAATAAGATGGGGACGATAAATTTTCCAGTCATCTTTTAGCGTGTCAATCAGCAGTGATCTGAGGTTCTTAAAGAACATCAGTTAAGTGAGAATCACTGTAAAAAAACTCCTCAAGATTTCTTTGTAAAACTTCCGGATGGAATATCTATGTAATAACCTCAAATCCATATTTCGTTCAAATGCATCCAACATATATATCCGATAGAATTTTGACAGCAATATTACTAGGTACCTCTATTCATCTTATCCTCTTCCATTTCCAGGTTGTGGCATTAAAAAACCATTGATACTATAAATTGTACTTTTTGTTAAGCATGTATTGCACTTTCTGTGGGTATTGGTAAGCAGTATGCTAAACTGGGTCACTAAATGGGTTACTTGTCTATATTGATTTGTCTAATCTGTTTGTGGTAGAATAAGCCACGTTTGGTAGATCAACCAACAGTGAACAGTATGTAATTTCATGTTTCTCGGTTGTGTCCTTTTACTTAACGAAGGAAGAATCCACCTAATGATCACTCCTTTACCAAGCCTGTAGAGCACTAGGTTCTCAAAGTAACTGTCACTGCATAAATATGAAAGTAACTTTGGATAGATTATATATACTTTTGGTTATGGTCTTACCGATGTATCTAATCATAATATTAACTGAAATGTTGCATGAACCCACATCCTAACCACTAAGTTGTTTCAAATTAATTTCTCATCAGACGTCATTTAGGACTTTAGAGTTGACAGTTTTCAAAATCAGTTTGCCCAGTCGAGTGGAAACCATAAGACGAGTTAACAAAAATTAAAAATCTGCCTTTGAGCGTAAATGTAAAACTTTTATTACCTCTATAATCAAAACGTATGGAGGTTATACGTGATGTTGGACTACTAGTTGCATTTCTATGTCTTGAGTAGAGTGGTTCGAAAGGTTAACCTAGCAACTGATGAAATAGTAAACCATGTCTTGCTATTGCAGTCGAGATAGTAGCTTTTTATGAAATAAAGAAGCCTAGTCGGTCATTTGAGTAGTCTTTAGAGTGACCTTTAGAGTAACTTCTAGTGTGGAGGTTCACGTTTGAAAAGATGTTTTACATATAAGCTGAATGTGTACTTACTTCCATAAGTGCAATATTTAGTACTTTATCTATTAACTCAGCTTTTCATCTGGTGGAAAGAGATTTGGCACATCACCTGAATTCAATAACATTGAAATATCTTCCATAAATGATTCATGTTTTAACTGGGTATCATTGATTAAGAATACAGTAGACTTTGCATCAAGTCCAGTTTTAAGCAGTAGACGCTTAAGATCATCTCTCCATTCATTGACACCATATGTACGTGTTATCTCAATTACAAATAACTCATGGTCTGCAATATGGCTGGCTAAACGTGTTGCACTTTGACGACCACTACCTCCAACACCTGAAGTAATTAAACAACAAAAAACAGAGAATTTGCACTTTTTTTCATGTGATTTCATAATCTGCGCAATGTAATTCAAATGTGGATGATCATATTTAACAGGAAATTTGAGGCAAGCAGGCAAACAGAGATACTGTTGAAGAAAAGCTGTGACTAACGCAGCGGCAAAAAGGTAAAAGCTAGGAAGAAAGCAATGTTAGAAAAACTCAAGGGAACCAAGGTTTCAACCAAACTCAAACCAGCAGGCTTAGGAGTATAAACTCGAGACTTTATCAGCTGACGCTGGTAAATAACTGTTGATCAAGTTGTAGTGTAAATGGTGTTCTATTAACTAAAGAGAACCAAGATATATGATGCCTTTACTGATGATAATCAATACTAACTTGATACAAGCTCAGAAAGGTGCAATAACGTGTACTAATTTTTAATATAAATACTGTCAGAATTATTTATAATTTCGAGGAAATAATTATCTTCAAGAAAGATGGTGTGAATAATCATGACAGAAGGATCGTTTGTAACTGCAGTAATTATAACAACATTCATTACAGGTAAGTGGAAAGGCACTGAAAATGAAAGATTCCTTCCATGTTCAGTCAGATAAGACTAGTTGACAACTTAGTAACTAGATTTATTGAGTACAATTAACGCTTTATTTTGTATAATACTGTAAAAGGTTTAAACTTTTTCGTTAGAGTTATAGCACGGGAAAAGAATTACTTATTGGGAGTAAATCTGTTCTATCTTGTTTAACTTTTAAAAATAGTGCAATAAATATCGCATACACTAACTTCCAAATGAATGAATTATATCATCCAGCAACCTGTCGAATTTCTAAATAATAAACGAGAATAACAACATTATTTTCATGGCTGAAAGATATCCATCCTTAAATTGTATGTTTTGTTTTATCCTTGTACTACAACGTGATACCTCCAAAGTATCCCTGAGATGCATTGTAACCAGAACTAATCAATAGTTTTGGGGTTAGATGCTTAATGACATATATACATCTAACATTACATACATCCCAATTGCAACATTACATTTCGTCACTCACCGTACTTCCTCTTTAGTGATTTTCTACGAATTTTGATTACATTTTCAACTCCTATTTCTTCCCCTTCCATCTTGACGCATTATATTTTGATGTGCCAGTATGAGAAGTGTCAAATTGGACGGTTAAACAATATTACCAGATCCCATGTTTATACTGACTGAATAAGGCGGACAATATTAGTATGAGAGCTCAACCAACTAATTGATTTGTAAAGCAGAATGAACTAAGATTGTAGTGAAATATCTTACATATGAGAAACAGCCCGTTACTTGTACATATTAAATTGATTAGAGAGTGAATAAACAGGAAGAAATCTTGATGAGATAAAAATTGAACGCATCACCAAGCCATGGCATTATTATGTGTTGAATTTAACTAGCAGACATGGAAGAGTAAACAACGTACGAAGTATCCTAATTGGTTACCACACAAGTTTGTAACATTTCGTAGTATAACTTAGAAGGAATATTGAACGGTAAATGATGAACATCCTATCAAGTGAGAAATATACAAATTAACAATTTCCGGGGGTTGGTGACTGAAATTTAGACAGAAGTTTGAATCGCAGACGCCGAATTACTGATCATACAGTTCACATACTGATTTACAAACTTAGGTGCTAATAGAATTTCATTTTCAATCCAGTTATCATCAGTTTAATAGGGAAAGAGAATATATAGTTCAGCAAACAGGATGTTTCTGGGATTTCTTTGACAACGATGTACAATAACAAATGTATACAATTTTTCGGTCAGTATTTATATTTTTTTCATAATCGCGTTGTTTGTTAAGGTAATAAGTGAAATAAAAAAATTATTATTGAAAATATCATTCTCACCATGATAAAAACTGCTATGAAAAAGAGGAGGTCAAACAACTTGCCTTTGAGTGCGTAGGTCAGGTTTATACATTTTAGTGTACAGGGTTACAGCAATGCAAGGAATGCGGAGGCACATCTTTTGCAAGAGTTCTGCTTTATGAATGTAACATTTATGAGGAACATGTTAAAATTAAATGTATTCAGAAACTCAGTTTAGTATAGACTCATCCCACAACTACTCTGCGTAGCATACTTAAATTAAACCCTCTTGTATAAACTTGGAACCAGTTGGCCTTTGCCCACAAAAGCAGGCAAACTGGCATATAGAGGTACTATTGGTCAGATGAGATATTTTTTCCTCCCAGTTTTTAGGGAACATAAGGTGGTAGGTGAGTACCAATCTCAAAGTTGATACAAAGAAGACAGATCTGACCAGAATGTTAAGTCAAAAACGGCTATCACAAGCCTCCAGCCAAAGTCATGTATGAACCCCAAAAGTGCAGGACACAGTAATTTATTAACAAGGTAGTAGTGTAAGTAGGGGTTATAACCAGGATAGTAATAATCAATTACAGCTGTAGCACTTCCTTGGGGAAAATCGCTGAATCAGTTTGAAAGAAAATCACCGCGATCCAGGCAAATAGTCTACAAATAATGTACAACCAAAACTGAGAACTCACTCCTTAAGCGAGTAGGCTAAGCAAATCACTAAGACTGGTTCACACACACAAAATCAATCAGAGATAAACACTATCAATGAGAATTAGGGTTACAAGTCCAAAAGGGTGAACACAGTCATAAGGGAATAAGACTCAAACACCCAGAATGTGTTAATCGAAAAGAAATAATGTGTGAGTGGGGGATTTCATTACAAATACGATGTGGGGTGAGAAGGTAAAAAATAAGATAGACCAGTATAGTATATTGCAACACACGTTGCATTTATAACGAGACCTGGCAAAGAAATTACAGTCAGCTCTTGTATAGAGAAAATTATAACGTTACAACAAATGTATCTGCACCTTGGTGAATGACGGTCTTCCCACTGAGACGTCAACCTGGTGCTCATCGTTTCAAACACCAAGCCATTATCCACTAAGCCACAGGCTACAGTTAACTTGGCGGCTGGCAGCCACATCCAAAACTTGCGTTTCGTCTTGTTATGGATTTGTCAGCTGGATGCACTTAACGAATATTCACGCAATATCGAGATATCTGTAAAGGAGCTCATCTCCCGACATGGGTCGAGCAATTCTGTCGACTACAACAACGGAAGATTACAGTTATCAATTAGTAATAACAACTGATGCCCATTTTCCAAGAGGTAGCTTTTGCGCCTCAGGGGCTTAGTGGATAGAACTTTAGCGTTTGAAGCGATGGGTACTGTCTGCGAGTCTCAGTGGGGATACTGTCAATCACTGGGTGAAGGTAAATGCAACTGACGAGTCCTAAATGCGATGAAGGGTGTATCCTGAATCCCACCGCTAGTCACCAAGGAAAACAAAACATAAGGAGTGTTCGGGCAGTGCCGAGGCATCCGTATAGGAGCTCATCTGCAAACACGGGTGGAATAATTCAATCCTGTATAACGACGGGAAATAGAATGAGTATCGAAATTACAAATGTTTCATTATATGTATTCTAACAACTGAACTGTTTCTTCATTTTGTTTCTATGCTACTCTTTATTAGGCTTTATCTTGGAAAATACGTTTACATTTACAACTTTATATTCAACACTGTTTATTTTGTTGGTCTCTATGCTCTTTTCTGATTGATTTTCACCTTGCATCATATTTTTAATTTCTGACCTTCATTAGACCTGATCTTAGTTCCTGGGTTTAATTAAATAATGCTCATAACTATCCAGTATAGTGGAACAAAACGGTGAGAAATTGAGATTGTACAGCTACAGAGAACGCAAATATTGGGAAGAGACATCTCCGTTGAACTTCTTGTTTCTATGGTTGTCACTTTCGTATTCCCAGTTGTGGCTCTGAAAAAAATTGTTTGATTCGTGAATCACTAGTAGATAACAAAGTGAAAGTCGTTATGCCACTTGAAACCCTACGAAACTTGCTTCTATGTTGTTCGATGAATATACAGTTTCAATTTAACAGCGAAATTTACCTTTGAGGGAAATTGGAGAATGAACTTGATAGGAAGCGGTGTAAATCGAAATCAGCATTCAAGGTCGTCAGCTGCTAATGAAGATGTTTTGGATTACAATCTTGGTTTCGTGTTACTGTGTGAGCGGAAAAGTCACATTGAACAATTTCGTCCTTCCTTTGACCAGTAAAAATAAATATTCAACTTGTTATCTAGTGGCTTTCTTTTCTGAGGGAAACCTGCATATAAATGATATGTTTTTGTCAAATAAAGTTGTCTTCCTTACAGTCACAGGCCGGTCTTTGTCTTCAGATTTTTGCGACTAAGTAAAGTATTAGGTGTGAGCGGAAACAGTTGCTTTTCTTCTCTCACCCACGTATCTCATAGAGTTAATATGGTTTCTTGTGTTTATTATTATCCATTCAGTCATTTCAAAACTATTGCATAATGTGACGAATAAATTGACTTTTATTGCAGATACACGGATGACACATTTATTCTGTGCAAAAATCATACTAAAGTTAGCATCCTTCCCGACCCATTCGCCAGCGCTTGCCCAAAAATCGAGTTCTCTTATAAAACAGAGGAAAATGTATGTCTTTCATTTCTTGCTGTCAGGATGAATCGATGACAGTATTGAACACAGTGTATTACGTAAGAAATCATATCGACATATCTAAACACTTATTCATCTTATGTACAAGAGGAATTTAATCCATACGCTGGTTTTTCGAGATAAGAAGATTTGCATAGCTGACTCTCTGGACAATGAAATAAGAATGATGAAGATGCTTATCCTGAGAAGTCCTTAAGGACTGTTTCAATGAAAACAGCTACAGGAAAGTCCCTTCAAACAGTAAACGAAGAAAGGATTATACCTAACTTTAGCATTCCAAGGAGATACAGCTGATGAAAAACCAACACCTAAACTCAGAAAATCTGTAGAAAGAGCATTCATTACCACAACAATGTTTGAAATTTAACGTTCAGTGTATGATGTCTATGTGACTGAAGGTTAGGTCACCGATTCTTTCCCCAACTCTATGTATTTACAAATTTAGCTGCTCTTTTTGCAATAGTTACACAAGTAGAACTACTCGGCAAGCACATCATCACTTCATTGTACACTGTTCAACGTAGTTAAGCGAAGGAAGAGTTAAATTCATCAAAAGCCCAATACTAATTCATCTAGTGGATACTGAACTAAAGATTTGTAGAGCACTAGCGTCACACTGTGCTGCTTTAAGTATTTGTGCCTCAGGTTACTGATTATTGTAAAGAAAACAGCAATTAACATTCTTAAATCTATGTTTAAAGAAGGTATTATTTCTATCCCTTTTCCTCCCATTGCCTTCACCTTAAACCCAAATACAATTGCACAAATTTTCCTCCCGGTCACTAGGATAATCGTAAATATAATTTCAGATTAATAATTTATTGGGAATTTAAACATTTTATTATCTAGTTACTGTGGGACAGTCAGTTATACCCCTCTCTCCGTGTACTCACTAGCAATACATTCACATATACAAAACCATTGACCACTGAGTTTAAATAAACTCATCTAAGATTTCGTTATTGCTACCATTACCCCTACTGCTATCCTTTAATTTATGTACTTAAACTAAAATTCCATTTAGCATAACGGAATCTTATATATATGTTGAATACTTTTTCGATATAACCTCAGAATGTGATAAAAATATAACTGAGATGGATATTTTATTTTTGAGGTTAATGTGGATTTTGTTTCTAAGGTAGCATTCATTATGGACTGAGACCAGTCAGAGAACCATTAAAATATGGGACAACTGGGCAGCTGTTTCGTTACAGTATAGGACGCCTCAGCAGTATACACCTATGGCTAGGGCTTGAGTATCAGGACCCTAAAGTTTCAAGGCGGTTGCTAATTGACAGAAGTAGGAAACTGCGAACCATTAAACTCCGAACCAATGGCTGAATGGTTGACGTGTTCGCCGTGAAAACTGACGATCCTGAGTTCGATCCGTAGCCGAGTCGTGGGTGCGTACTGCTGAGGAGTCCCATACTTGAATGAAACAGCTGTCCAGTACCCCTAAAGTTTCCAGTGGTTCTTCAGATTATGTCAGTCCGTAATGGATGCTACCTTCAGATATATGTTTGGCCAAAATATTTTTTCCAATAATTACAAGGGGAATATTGAAAGTGATTCAACTTACCAACTAATAATGCATGTCCATTATCTTGCAATAATACACGTGCCACTCGACTAACATGTTCGATAGCAAATTTAAACATGACAAGATTCATTGGTGTCTTAGATAGTGCATTGAAATCGCTTAAATAAGCTTCCATACGATTTGTCAGCAATTTTAAATCTGTAACTTCATCATAACACCCTTCATCTTGCATATAATTACCAAATAATAAATTTCTGATGTCCTCATCGGCAACACGACCACTTAAACTTAAATGACCTAATATTTTATCCATGTTTGTGCGGAATACATCAGAGCACGTTTGGCGTACAATATCAAAAAACCGAGTTTCATCTTCAGCCAACGTAAGCCGATCATAAAATACGCGATAAACCTGTTAGTGAGTGAAGAAGAGAACAGAATATGAAATACACCACCAGATAAAAAAAACAAAATATTGATTTCTTTTGAAGAAAAAAATGAGTAAATTTTACAAACTGTCCTAATTGGCGGGTTCAGTTACTTGACTCGATTATCATTTATTTACACAAACTACATAAAATTGCGTGTTTTGTGAGCAATTATACCAGTTATTTTACATGTTATTGATTTTCTGTCTGATTTGTGGATTAGTAACCACGTGATAAGGACTCAGTTCATGAATAATAACTACTGTTATGGCTGTAGAAATAGAAAGGCTACAGTTTGTAGGCGACTTCAAAGGCCGCCCTGGCAACTCCTGAGTTAACCAATCAGGTTTTAGTATTCTAGCTAAAATACTGGTCTTTTGTAAAATCTAGAATCCTAATTGTTATCTCAGCAGTTGCTGGGGTGGCCTTTAATCACCTCAGTTTGTTGATGTCTAATACGCCCCAAAACAAGCCTTGGCAACTATGGCCTACTTGGTTTGTCCATGTAAGTGACGATATTGATCAAATCTAAATGGCAGAGTACATCGGCCAGCCATCTAGACCAAACACTTGTGAAGGCAACCATTCTTGACATAAAGACGGCATGGATATAGTTAGTTCTCTAGGTTCATTGTAAATTGACACATGTACTGCTCTGGAGATTTAGTCGGCAAAGTTCCGCTGGACGAAAAATACGGTTGATGATATTTTAGTAGTATGGACATGAAAAAATGATAGAAACAGGAGTTGTTACTTCATTCTAGTAAGTGATTCAAATCTGATGGAATCAACAGTCTGTTTAAGTTGAATCTATCTAAATACATTACTGATCAACACATAAGCAAATAGGAGAAACAGCCATCAAATGTCCATATTACTTCTGTTAGGCGGGTGGAACTCTCAGATCAATATCTGAACACGCATAGCATTCAGCTGGTTGTGCACTTTGTCAACGGATTGCCTTGCTTTAAGAATTTGAGTGTATTTTTAACGCTATAATTATTTTTAAGTGAAAAGGATTCACTTTGTGTACCACTTTAGTTTTTGTATTTTGTGTATCACACAGTGAAGCTGTACTACTTACTGAATGACCTTTGAAACGCAATCAGTTACTGAAATTCATATCAAAGTACTCATATGACTTCATGGTTTAGCTTTAGAACCCCACTGTTTTTCACTCCTTGATTTTATTGATAATAACATCTTCCATTTATTATGACTTGATGTTGAATCTTACCTACTACATGTGTCAGTTATCGATCGGATGAAGAATCAGTTTCTCTCCAACTAAGTTATCTACCGAAATTGTCACTTTATCCTATCCTACTGCGTGACTGTGGGATAATATCCATAGCTAGGGGTGTACTGTTTTCAAGACCCACCTTACTAAGGTGTACGCTTTTACATTTAGTTTGCTTTCTGGATCCTGCTAACCGAAATGACCCAGCTCAGCTCACTCGACTTATGTATTTGACCCCGAATAGAATTCGGTAAACCAGACTCTTTTATGTGCTAAGTTCGATAGGATCCGTTAAGTGACACAGTTTATCTCTTCAATTTCATTGGTTGAACACTACTATTATTCCTCTCTCCTTCAAAATCCAATGTACGGCTTCTGATGTATAACACGGTAACAAGTTGTTTGAAAGCCCACCCAATAAACTACTGAAATAGCCAACTATCTTTCTCTGTTTTTTCATAAAATTGGGAAAGGAAAATGGCCATTTCAGTCGTTGATAGAGTGGACTTAGGAGTCACAATGCGACGGCAGAGTGACCTTTAAAGGTCAGCTTGGCAATAAATAAAATAGGTAACTAGGCTTACTCGTTTTAAAAAATCTTCCTTTCCATCCGGTAAAAAGAAACTTACCTAATCATCTGACCAATTACTTTCCTTCATTTTATGAAACAAGTGCCATCCCAGCATAAATAGGGAATCCTGATTGCTTGGAATAGTGGTTGACTGGGTGACCTTTAGAGTCGATCGTGGTGAGTGCCTTTGAAAGCCAAACTAGCAATTGGTAAACAACCCATTATATTGCTTTATTTTGTAAAAACGATAGGTATTAAAGGCCACCCTAGTAACTGCTGGAGCAGCCAGTTACATTTCTGTATTTGAAGGATAACTACTATTCCAACCCAAATACCGGGAGCTGATTGGTTATTTCAGTAGTTGCTAGGATGGCCTTTGAACTCATTCCGTTTTCAAACTCTTCTTAACTGACATTGAATGAGATGATCTGAAATTTAACTATCGATTACTTTGTAGGCTTTATGCAGACACTAGTATCTAAACCTTTTTCTTGCCTTCGTTTATTTTGCAGTCGCCCGAGTGACTTCAACGTCCATCTTGGCAATCAATGAGATAACCAGTCAGGTTCATGTGTTTCGGCTAAAAAATCTCATCATAAAATGTAGAATCCTGATTAACTAATTCAGTTGTTTTTAATGATATCCTTCAAAGTCACTCAGTTATCCTTTACCACTTTTTAGCTCATGTGTTGAGCGAATCCACAGACCATTCTGGTGACAACTGAAATAAATAATCAGGTTTTCGTATTTCGGATAGGAAGGCAGTACATATAAAATAGAGAAATCAAATGGGTTGTTTCCCTAGTTGTTACGATAACCTTGGAGTCACTCCCTACATGAATTGGATTGAATCAACTACTAAGTTTATGTATGCAAAAAATATGTCAATATGTTTTGAATTCAACCCATAAGTGTATCTTTCACTTATCTTCTACTTACTTTTGGAAGAGGGTTAAATTCCTATTGGGCGATACGTTTTCAACTGCCCATTAATATACATGCTGCAGTCGAGGAGATCGGGATTACTAGTAAAGACCACCCTTACAACTACAGAAATAATCAATTAGATTTCTAAATTTCGCTTAGACAGTTAACTTTTTCCTGGAATCGAGAGGGGTAAATGGTTAAGTCAGTCACTGTTGGGGTGACCTTTAAAGCAACTTGGATACTAGTGATCCTGTGGCTACCGCTGTTTGTTTGCATATTTCATCTTGAAACTTAAAGACTGTTGCAGTCAGTCATACACCGAAGTAATATGGAGAATGAGGGAAAACTACGCTATGATGTATTAATTACTTCATGAATCCATAAACGCATAAGTTTGTCCTGTTCTTTCATATTACTAGCAGGAACTAAGCGCACACCTTTTATAACTCGAGCGAAGTCACGTAAATTAAATACGTAGTGGGATTTAGCTGGTGTAGGCAAAAAGGTTGATATAGCCAATTTGTAAACATTCAGTGTGGCTTGAACCAAAATCTAAAAAGTAACCAATAAAACAATGTACAGTGAAAAACTGCCAAGCAAAACATATTAATTATTGTAATTTAAGTGTGTACAGTGAGTTTTGACTTAAAAATTCAGTTTTCTAAAAAAAACTAAATGGAAATATCTTATGAAAATCCTATATGATTAATGTTTAGACTGAATTCTTTTCTTGGCCAGAATATTGTTTGTAGACATTTCAGTGTCATGCTATTTGCTATCGTAATTGTAATTCCACTTTGATATACCAACGACCTACTATTACAGTCTCGAGGAAAACATTCAGGGGGATTATTTTGTCACGCGTATAGTATTCATGCTGTCACACAAAACGTATATTATACGGATATATCAGTCATCCACTACATCTCTAACAACTAACTGTTCCATACTTTTTAATCACTATCCTGACTTGTTTCCCTACCTTTCCCTTCTACTTTTTTACTGCAGTGGGTATCATTCTTGTACTTAGTCTACCTATTGTACTGATTCGACCACTGCACCATGGTGAAACGCAACGATTCAAACTAGTAGATACACCGGGTCTTAGCTGATTTCCATCTCTTTGCTAAATTATTTTCCTACCAATTTTTCCTGTTTCAGGAAAAGTGATTGTTTGATATGTACAGCTACAGTAAAATGAAATCCAGTGAAGCAGCAGTTGCGGTTTATTGAGAAAATACAACCGGTGATGGTAAAAATACTAACCCTTACAATATAAATGAAATATATTTGTAAACGGATATTTTACCACTTACTATTTAAACAGTTGATAACTTGCACAGATTTTATTCTCTAAAGAAGCGCTTTCCATGAAGTTGCAAAATGTCAGAAATTTCTTTTTCAGCCTCACTGGGGTTCTAAAAGTATGTTTCATTTATTATCCATCTACCCAATGGTCAACTTATTTAAGTCTATCAGGTCAAATTTTGATCCTGAAGTTTATAAAATCCTTAAAGTATAGTTTCAGTTTGCAAACCATCTTTTGTTCTGCACCTCAATCCACACTATTCTATTTGTATTCAATAATGTATATTCTTTTGACCGAAACCTCAAGAGTCGATCATTATCAATTTGAATGCTGCTGCAAATGCTACTGATATATACTCTCATAAGTAGTTCACACAACAGTGAATGTAATATGTACATAATCCATTTCATTTGTTAGTTGAGTGATGAAGTCTTTGGATAGATTTATTGTGGGAAACTATTTTCCGTCTCTAAATCAACAGCCCACCCACCCATCCAAGTGGACCGGCTTAGTTAGATGTAGGCACATGATAAATCAAGGATACATTTGAAATGCTATTGAACACTATTTCATCAATCGATGTAGTTCACAAGTTTCAGTTGGTGTCCAGGTGCATGTTCGTGCATAAACAATTTGTTTACCATTTTTTCTTTATCTAATTTACACAAATATCGATTTACCAATCCTCAGAGGATAAAATTGATGCTTTTATTTGCCTCATGTAAGAATGCAGATAAGCCCCAGAATTCCAGTGGAAGTTCCCATCAAGTGTTCAGCAGTACTTAACTTCAAGAACTAAAAAAGTTTTAAAAATTCATCCAAACTGGTTACATGGAATTTTTATGCAACATAGCTACATATGAAACGATATTTTCGATGTTTTGACTTGAATCATATCGCAACCTAGCCATCTATAATAATCGTCGTCATCATGATCATGTTCACTAGCAGAGTCTGTATCTTATGATAAGTAAATTTTATTCTCTCTGTTCACATTAATAATAATTTCCGTCGAGATAATACAAAATTTATGAGAAGAGGAAAACTTGGACATACTTTACTCAATCGCATGAATAGTGGTTCGAAACCATTAGCAAAGTGCGCATCTGTAATCGTTGTAAATATTTTCAACATTGTTTGATCATCAAATTCATTTACGCCTAATACATTTGCATGTCTTGTTAAACGTGATGTTATGTCATTGCGTCCTCCTCCAGGTGGCCCCATAGCAGCCATGAAAAGCTAAAAGGAAACATAAACCGAAGTGCGACTCAGGCCTTCGGAACAAGCTTACTGCATACAAATCAGCAATACTATTTTATTATTCAAAGTTTGATGAAGAAACACCTCCAGTCAAATTTTAAAGCTGAGGACATACTGTAGAACTATTAGGCAGAGTCGATGCAGTCCACTGACTTTCAATAAAAACATGAAAAATGAAAAGTTGGAAGATTTTTCCAGAAATATATTTAATAGAACATGGACACTGTGGTAGAATTTAGTTCGATATTAGATTCTTTAATTTGATTTATAACACACAGTTATACAGTAATATTTACTTGATGATGTTTCGAGCATAAATTAATGCTCATAATCATATTAATGTAATCACACTACTTTCGACATCTCATTTTTATAGTCCTGTCACCTCATATTATTTGTTTTTATTGGTAGTAAGTAATACTATATCATTGTGCGTTATAATTCAAACTGACAAATCTGAAAAGGAATTTTTTCAGAAAGTTAATACTAAATGCTCGACTAAATGTCGAGGCTTTTTAAAAATTGTCTATGCATTACTCTTATTCAGTTCTTTACACCAAAAGAATTATATTATAACCAAATTGAATGCTATAGTATATCCTAACTGCTTTTCATTGAAATTATTCCCAGATGGATACATTATTAAAAGAATGCAGAACTCTGAAGTGCTTATTTCAAGCAACCGTACTTCAAAGTTAGTTCATATGAATTCAGTGGGTTATTATCTATCTATAGATAGTCACTATGAAATTCCGCGTGGAACCAGATTTAGTCAACTGTTAGACAGTTACATGGTCCCGAATGAAAAATTGTTTCTTGATATTATCAATCTACCTGTTCGAATATACTTGCCAAACAGTCGTTTGTCTAATTCAGACACAATCATTAGTCATCAGACGGTAAGTATCTAGCTTTAAACCCCTTACCCACAGCCTAAGTTTATGAACATTAAGACTAAACTTTTGTCATTGTCACGTCGTCGTTTCGCCTAATATTCCTTGCAACCATAGCATATAGAGACTGAAAAATTTTCATTTAATCCTATCAAAAGTTACAATAAGTACAATAGACAAAGTAAAGTACTATGTAAAGTTATTTCAATATCGAAAGTCAGTGTCATGGGTGAGTGGAGACCAAATCAAATGGATGCTCAAGGAAATCAATACGGACAGAACAATCACGAAATAAGGAGACAAAATCTAGAGAAAATGATTCATTTATTGATATTTATCTGGGGCATGAATGTGTGTATTTCCATTTTTATTGATGTATTAGATTTATTACACTGTGGAACAAAATTGTTTACCTGGATTGCGTTTCGGATATAATTTACTGTCCGAAGTCATACCAAGTAACCACACAGTCTTGAGGTAGTCCTAATTTCCTCTTCCCCTTTGTGATATGGGTAGTAAGTTTTCCACATTTCCGCAACAGGTGCTAAGTCATTCCCGTTGTATGTATTAGGTGTCAATTCAAAAAACTAAGTTTCAGTACTTATCATTCCCTGCTATTTTAGTTTTAAAGATTTTCACTCTGTTCCATCTTATTGTGCGATTGCGTGTAATTGGATGTGTAGTTATGGTTGAGCTTTTTCTGAATTCCTTACCTTGCCAGGATCTACCAGTTTTGACCTAGCTAGGTTTTTGCGCACAGATATCCTAAATGACTCTGGTCGACAGCTTCGACCTATGTCTTTGACCTCACAATCGTTGCAAGGGATTTGGTAAACCTGGTTATTCTACTTGATTGGATCAATAGGATATTTCAACCTACATAGCTTATTTCTAAGTGAGTTTGTAGGTTTAAGTGCTACTCTAATTCTAGTCTTATTGAGAATCTTACGTAGTGTTTCTGAAGTGCCTTCATTGTATGGTAATACTGTAGAGGTTTTGAATTATCTCTTCACAGTATTGCCACTACTATTATTAACGACTATTAACACCTGTGTTACTAATATTTTTTTACGACTGCAAAAAACTTACTGCTAAAACAGAAGATATAAGACAAGAAACCAGATTCACTAAAGGCACCTTACTCATCAACAATTACTCTCACCTGAGAGGTTTTCTATTTTCGGCACATATTTTCTATTCAAAGAAACCAATTAATTGACAAGGGATATCACCAAATATCTTGTAGATATATAGAACATGAAATCGATACCGCAAAAGCCATAGGAATAAAACATATACAATGTATGCCAAAAATGCCGTTTTTCACATGAGCAACTGTCATCAAGCTGTTTTGACTAACCATATGTATACAGAAAAGAACTGTGCAACTCTTTTTGATCTGGCAACCAATTTAATATCTTGACCTTTACGTTGGCTGATTTTGGTTCATACGGATTCATGTATTTTAATTCATTGACATAATTTTATCCTTTTTACCTCGTTTCCTTAAGTAATGTATGAGTTATTATTATTATTATTATTAGTCCCCTGGGTTCCGAGTGGAACATAGGGCTTCAGTAGCACGCCTCCAGTGACCTCTGTTCTCTGAGATCTTTTGAACCTGGTTCCACGACAGCCCAGAAGCTCTCATTTCCTCCTCGCATGACCTCCTCCATGTCACCCTCGGACGTCCAACTCGTCGCTTCCCATAGGGATTCCACTCGAGGGCCTGACGCGTGATGTCCTCAGTCGGCCTTCTCAGTGCATGCCCAATCCATCTCCACTTCTTCCTGCATATTTGTTGCGTGATAGGTTCTTGGTTGCTTCGTTCCCAGAGTTCCTTGTTGCTTATTTTTCTGGCCATCTGATCTTCAGCAGCGAGCGTAAGCAGTTGTTGATGAGTATGAGTTATTGGTTAGTATTTATCAAGTCTTCTTCGCGATTATAGGTTCCTTTTGTTATTATTATTACTTTTCCCTTGGGTTCCTAGTGGAACATAGGGATTCAATAGCACGTCGCCATTTCACTCTCTTCAAGACAGTCTTTTTAACCTCGCTCCACAACCTTTCATTTCTTCCTCACACCATCTCCTCCATGTCACCCTCAGCTGGGATGCCCAACTCGTCGTGTCCCCTTTGGATTACACCCAACGGCCCGGCCTGAGCGCGATGTCCCCAATCCGCCTTCTCAGTGTATGCCCGATCCAATCCGTCCCACCTCCACCTTCTTCTGCACACTCGTTGGGCTATAAGTTCTTGGTTGGTTCGTTCCCAGAGTTCGTTGTTGCTCATTCTTATTATTCTGGCCATCTGGTCGATGTTCAGTTTCGAGTGAGGGTAGGCAGCAGCTGCTGATGAATGTCTGCAGTTTGTTGGAAATGCTATTCGTGACGCGCCAAGTCTCTCAACCACCACATAGAAGCACTGACTTACTTGACTGACATTAGTGTTGAAAATTCGGATGTTGTTCACGCTTTATGCTGAGTGGAGTGAAGTAGATCTGCACACTGGTTTCATGTTAATGAAGGCCTGTCTTAGTGTCTTTCAGATCGTGGCTTTCACATCCTCATCTGTGCCACCACCACCGCCTGTAGTTGAAACGATGCTGCCTGGGAAGGTAGGTAAAAGAGACTACTTCCTTTAGATTTCTCCCGTTCATGGTGATTGGTGCTTAATGTTGATGCTGTTGTCCGTTGGGTATCTTCATCACCTCCGTCTTCTCTACATTCACCTGAAGTTCCGTCTTCGCTGTCTCGCGTCTTCTGTCAACTTGTAAGTTTTCGCCTGTAGATCTTTGAGTTTGTGTGACATTAGATATAAATCATCATCGTCGGGGGCGAAACACAAATCTTCTAGGCTTTTTTCATCGGTCTAGCTTATGCCCATCTTTCCGCTCCCAACAGTTTGAGACATGAATCAGTCCACCACAATCAGGAAGATCATCGTTGATAGCAGGCGGACTTGTCTTGTCTTGCTCCTGTTTTCACTTCAAAGGCGTCACTGAGCTTCCCATTGTGGATCACTTGGCATGTGGCGTCGTCATATAGCTGTTGAATGAGGTTGATAAAGATTTGTGTCACTCAGTAGTGTTGAAGCAACTGACAAATTACTTCTCGGTCGATGCTATCGAAGCAAGGCCTTTTCAACATCGATGAAATTGAGGTAGACAGTTGACTGCAATTGTATACTCTGTTCTATGATGATGCGTAGCCGAGCGTTGCAATTTGATCCGCACATGATTTGTTCTTCCGGAAGCCAGCCAGCCAGCCAGCCAGCCAGCCAGCCAGCCAGCCAGCCAGCCAGCCAGCCAGCCAGCCAGCCAGCCAGCCAGCCAGCCAGCCAGCCAGCCAGCCAGCCAGTCAGCCAGCCAGCCAGCCAGCCAGCCAGCCAGCCAGCCAGCCAGCCAGCCAGCCAGCCAGCCAGCCAGCCAGCCAGCCAGCCAGCCAGCCAGCCAGCCAGCCAGCCAGCCAGCCAGCCAGTCAGCCAGCCAGCCAGCCAGCCAGCCAGACTGTTCCAGTCGTAATTTTGAATGCAGAGCATTTTTAGTCTCTCCAGGTTGGTGCGGCCTAATATCTTGCTTGGGGTGGATAGGAGAGGAGCATGATTCCGCGTCAGTTCTTGCAATGATTTAAGTCTCCCTTTCTTGGGAGTTTGACAAGGTAGCCTCCTCTTCCAACCAGTCATCAGGTACCTTTCCTTCCCTCCTTCCTTCCTTCCGTCCTTCCTTCCCTGCAAACCTTCTGCAATAATGGTGTCAGCATATCCGTTGCTGACGTCTCTGCATCTGTTTCAGTGCTTCTGGTGGAATTCCATCTGGTCCTGCTACTTTCCCGGATTTCAACAGTTTTATGGCGTTCAGGAATTCACTTCTGCTTTTGTCGGATCGGACAGCCCTTGCTCACCAATAGTTGTGTGGCTGAGCTGCTGATAGTATATCTGGACGAGTTGGAGGTGGTAGTGTTGGTAGTGGTCGATTCAAGAGTTTTAGAAGTGGTCAACCCATCGTTTCCTTTGTGTCTCCTCTCTGGTAGTAACTAGGTTTCCTTCACTATCTCTCATTGGTTTCGTCTGTGTTGATCTCTCCCTCCCAAATAGAGTAATCTGGTTATTCGACAAAATATTGTTAGGTCTCTGTGTCTATAACGTGCAGCCTGTTCCGCTTCACTTGCCAATGTGTCGTAGAAATGTCTTTTGTCTTTGCGCGCACTCTTCTTCACCTCTTTGTCCAGTGTATTGTTCTATATTTTGTACTCAGTTTTCTTTCCGTTGTGCATCCCTGCATTGGTTCTTCTTCTTCTTCAACCTTCTTTTAATTGCATTTAAATAAGTACTAACTTCCATAAAATTCTATAGAACTTTAAACTTCTGTAACCTCTGACTCACCTAGGGAGTTTTTAAACTTCAGCAGTAACAGCGTTTGACCTGTTGTAACTTTGAGTTACTTTGAGCTACGGAAATGTTTACAAAACAAAGGAATTCTTTTCATTCTGTAGAAACCTCATCATACTTATTTATCTTTATCCTTCATACTATAAGATAAGGAAACCTACAGTTATAAGTTACAGCACCGTGAAAAATGGCAAGCGCGCTGTTCAAGTTTATAAACGAGAAGAATTATAGGCCGTTTAAAATCTTCAGACTTTAAAAATGTACACTTACTACATCAGCTAAACACTGCTTTGTATTATCTTTTCTATCATACCAATGACTGTGGTCAATCCACATACGTAATAATTCAATCGGTGGTTGTGCACCGTATTTTTCTTTCATTGGCATGTTCAAATCATCTACAAAGACAACACATTCTTTACCTGGAGGTGGACCAAATACGCCTTTACGCCGTCTGTCTAAACGTGACATAATAATATCCTGTGTTTGATTGGCACTTGTACGCGCAGAAAAATTAAGAATATTCGGTATATATTTCTCTTTAGGTAGTTGGATTAGGTAGGCGTTGGCGATAACAGATTTTCCTGTTCCTTAAATATTTAAAACAAATAAAACGAGTTGGAAGTTATCATGAAATTAAGTATTGTTGTATCGTAGATATAAATGTCAATGTCGTACATCACATCAAGAAAACTTAAATAGTTAATTACAGAGATATGCAATTTTTCTTTCTAAAAAACCATTTCTGTTTTACCCACATTCAACTTTACTGCAGTTTAAAGTTCA